GTTACTGGTTACTTTTGGCTTATATAGCAGCTATTGTGCTTTGCTTTACGTAATGAAAAAGAGCTTAGGCCTTTTCCCCTAAAGTTGTGCTTTTCTGTGCAGGAGACTCAGATCTTGATGCATATCCAAAAGCTTGAATTAAAGACCAACTGTCCTGGGAAACAGTGTTGTGGGGGGTTCTGAGAGTTCTTATTCCACCAAGTACTCTTCTAAACATTCTTGCTATTGTTTGCTTTGTTCTGTGCCCTGACCGGTCAACTGAAGAATTTAGGACGATGTGACAAGTAAAAACATTCCCAAAAGCCAACTGTTTTACTGTTCTCTCTGAGTTCCTGCTTTAGTTAATTAGAAGCAATAAAATGTAACTAAATACCTCTGTGAGGCCAGAACACTGTCCTTCTCAGTTATGTGCAGGGCTGTAACGGGAACACAGTGGTAGCGGGGGAAGAAATGCTAAAAGCACGAGGTCCCATAAAGTAAACTGCATCCAAGGGAAACGATGCGTTAGGCTGACTCAGGAGGATGTGGAGTGGATGTAAGTTGTGTTGCAGTAGTGGCAACTGTTTTAACTATGGAGTTACTAGGAGACTGTATCTTTTAACTTCTTCAATGCTGCTAAAAGTCTGTAAAGATACTTTGCCCTTTCAGGGATCTTCACACCCTAAGAAAAGGGGCTTCATAATCCCCAGAATGTGATAGTTGGTGCTTAAATACTGCAAGACATTTGGCTGAGACAAGTTTACTAACCAGAACCAAACTGGAGGTTGGAGCAAAGATTGGAAAAGAACTGAAAACTCTGGGCCTGTTGTTAGGATAATACAGTGTCTAAATCCCTGTCTGGATGAGGTTTCATGATTGCTTTAGATACTTTAAATAGGAAGTGGAGGCTGCAAGCAAAAGGAATGGACTGATCTGTCTAGTGCATGCATGCATTGATTCTTCCTCCATTGCATTTGAGCTAGCATTCAATTTTTTTATTGACATCATTAATCAAAAAACCAATCTAGCTATAAAAGCAAATCCAGCTGCATAAAAAAAGCAGAGTTTTCAGCTCTCCACACAGCCTGACCAGAACTGAGGCTAGAACAAGGGGAATAGCATCAACAGGCACTTGCATGTGAGATGGGGCACAACTGCCCTTTTGGTAGCAGCCTTAACTTGGGTTGTTATTATGAACCTACATGATAACTGTCATGAACCTACAAACACTGTGGGATCATGCATCTGTTTGCTGGATTACTTGTGAGGCATTTACCTTGTGTGCTTTCAGAAGTTTGTCGTATAATAGCAATTGTCAGCACTGTTTTATTAATAGTTGGATATTAAACAGGTTCAAAAGGGTACTGGCTTAAAACTTTCATCTCAGAACTTCCAATAAATACTATTTACTTAATTTTCAGTCAGACATTTTTCTTCCCCAAAAATGTCTCAGCAACTGAAAAACCATGGATACGAATACTTCTGGAAAATTCATGGATGGCATTGTGAGCATTAGTGCTGCAAAATTTTAGTTTGACAGTCCTTTTTGCAGCGATTACCTAAACCTAGCCTAACCAGGATTCATGCGGGAAGGTTTACGTGAAATTCGGTAGCTTCCCTTTTGCAGGAGGTCAAGCAAATTTGTCAGTGAGCTTTGCTGGTCAAAAAAGTTCAATCATACCAGTTAAAGGCATATAAAACAGCAGAATGGCATGATTCTGCTGAGATGAGACTATAGTTGTAGAGGGGGAGAGGGAAAATAACATTTGTAAGTTGAAGAGTTATTTAATGTTTTGGTGCAAGGAATTGAGAATTTCAAGGGGATAATTTCCCTCGGCTTTTCAATACAGTGATCTTAGCAATAACAGGAAAGCTTTAGATAGAACCAGTGAATGAATCTCAATATGCGTGTGGTAGTGGTGGGGTTTAAGCATATTAAAACTGAAGTGACTTTTGTGCTGCTGCTATTCAGGGTCTTTTGTATATGTCACAATGTCTTCTTTCATTTTTGGGAAATGGTAGGCAGTAGTGGGCTTATCTTGAGAACTAAACTTGAATTTCTTGTTACATCAAACTTGGATGTAATTTGATTCAAGTCACTGGTATTGCAATAGGTTAAAATTGGTGAAAAAAAATTAGTTTGTTGGAAAATGAAAATTCATTTGCAACTATCAAAGTATAAATACATATAATCCTTATTAAAACTAAATCTGCTTTCAGGTAAGACCTGGATTCATAAACATAATAGATGAATGATAGGATTTATAAACTTTTAATATTTCAAGACATCATATCTTGTTTAAAATATGAAACTGTTAATTTTATTGAGCTAATAGGTTTTCCAGCAGTTTTCCAACCAATTCACAACCAAACTTAAAAGCAACAGTCATTTAATAATTTAAATATCTTTTCTACTGATCTAACAGGTCATTAGCATTTGCATTTGCAAACCAGCATTTGCAGCTTGTTTTACCTTCTCCACCTTCTGTCTTTCAGTCCTCATTCCTTCTTTTAAACTTCACATTGTCACTAGGTGCATTAATTTTCCACCTTTCTTCTTCCTCAGTCAGGAAGAGCAATATGAAGCAACTTTTCCAGCAAGAATAGAAAGTGACAGAGCTCTGGAACAGGTTGCCCAGGGGGGTTGTGGAGTCTCCCACATTGGAGATATTCAAGGCCCGCCTGGACAAGTTCCTGTGTGATGTACTCTAGGTTACCCTGCTCTTGCAGGGGGTTGGATGAGATGATCTCTTGAGGTCCCTTCCAACCCTTGGGATTCTGTGATTCTGTGTTTTTTTTCTTATCTTGCAGTCTGGCCATCTCAGTGGTCCACTCATCACTGAAAAACCACCCACCAGCCCTCAAGCCCTCTTTAGAAACTCAGTACCAGAAGAACAGAGCAACCGTTCTGGAAGGTGCAAAAGAAGGAACAGGCCAGACTGGTTAACATTGATTAGGGCTGATATTTTGAGGCTGGCTCTACCTGCTAAAGCATGGATCCAGCCATTTTGAACAGTTAGTGATTTAATGGCTTTTGGGGTTTTTTTTCCAACCACACCGGGACAGGGCACTAACAGGATACGCGGCCAGCTCTTCATTGACATTCAGAGTAAACGCCTGGGTGGAGATCAAGTTGTAAAGTTTGACCTTTGCCAGCCTCTAAGGAATGATGCTGGCGGTGCTGCCTGCCAAAGCTGTGAGTTTTAAGAGCAATAGCAGCTATCCAGTGGGAGAAGCAGGTAAGGTCATTAGTGCCTGTCTGCACAAAGTATAAAGATAACGGCTTCAGGAGAAAGACAAAGACGTAGCAAAAAATAGAGCAAAGAATAGCAGGACAAGGAAGCCTGCTCTTCTGTTTTGCTGTCGCAAATAAAGAGCAAGTGGTACAGAACATGCCCTTCTGTGCTTTTTCTTTCTGATCTCTTTGGCTGCTGCACAGTAAGTATTGCCTCTCTGTCATAGATTTGTAATGAGCTGATTGTTTCTCCATTTGCCAGTGGGCTGGATGTTCCTATTTCTCATGGGTAATGTGACAGATTTGGTTTGCACAGCGTCACTTATAACTGTGAGGTTTTTTAATTCTTAGTTTTATATCTTCCTGTTGGATGGAATCATTCCAAAGGAGGTCATTGTGGTGGATGATCAGAGAGCTCTACTGTATATGGAACTGGTTTGGGGGATTTGGGGGTTTTGTTTGGGTCCTGCAAAATAAGAATTAATTCATAACGGAAAGCAGCTTTCCAAGTCTTTCATTAGAGAGGGGTTGATATAAATGATGCAGGTTTTGGAAGGTGCAGAATTAGGGACCTATAAAGGACCAGTAGGAAAACTGCAGACATAAAAAGTTCTGTATGTTTATAACAATATCTGCACCTTCAAGTTTCTAGGACAGAATTTATATTCAGCTGTTTGTTTTGAAACTGCATATTTAGAGTAAAAGCTGGATTTTGTTATCCTCTGACCAGCAGAGGAAAAGAAAAACAAAAACCTAGAACTGAATAAATAAAGAAGTGATTTTTGGGATGTTGACTGATGGTGGATTGGGAGGTTATTGTGAAATCCTTGGCCAAATAATAGAACGTATTTAATAGACTGGAGTTCATGAGTCAAATACAAGATTGTTTTCATCGGGAACCTGAGCAGAATTAAAAGAACATGAGTCTTGTCCAACTGTGATGGCAACCACAGAAAGAGAAACCATTTAATTATTTTTGCAGCTTATTTAAAAAGAACAGGTATTTTGCATTTACAGGTTGGAAAAAAGAATTGATCAGTTTTGATAAGTGTTCAGGACTCAAATTTGATACCATGCTGTGGTGTTTACTCTGTGTTTCTGCTTCAAAGCTTGCTGCATTTTTAGTGAAAACTGTGGGCTTTGTGGGAATATTGAAGGTGGAAATAGTGAATGATTTTTTGCAAAGACTGGAAGCTGAGGATCTCAAAAAAAAGCCCACAAACAAATGGTGTTTTTCCCTGTCTTGTGTAAATGTTTCTTTGTTCCCAGGTATAAATATTGCTTGCCCTTTCTGGTACAAGTGAGTCTTGTGGCTTCTGTTAGCCACAGTAAATCTCTTGTTTCTCTTGATGCCTCAAAGGTATTGGTGCTTATTTCAAATGAATTTAAGAGTTCGGACAGTATTTTAATTGTATTTACCACTTCGTTCAGTCGTTTCCAAGCCAGGCAATGAAACTTTCAAGTGGCAAATTTGCAGGGTAATTTAACTTATATTTTCTATCTTGTGAAATCTTTTAATTCAGCTGATGAGTTCCTTATTTAGGATTTGAATAGCTTTCTATGAGACTTGCACTTAAATTGCTATTAAAAGTGGAGTTTAGTCATCATAGTGATTTGGAACTGGTGGTGCAGCCATACTGAGAAAGCTGAGCCCTGTTCTCCCTAGCTGCCTTTCAAAATTTGGGATGCAAACACTGGGCAGCACTTTGATGCAGAGAGTTATCTTTGTCATGTACAACACTGAGCATGCTGCCAACAAAATGGTAAACTTTTGACATGCCTCTCAGATCTGTAAAGTTGGATAAAGTGCACAGAAAATCTAAAGTATTGCCCCTTCAGAAGCTATGTCAGTTGCTGTTTGTCGCTACAATTTCCATTCTGTTCATGCGTGTTCTACTTCAATGTGTACACCAGCCTGGGTAAATGTTGCTAGCAAAGCATGCAATGTTAACTTCATTTTGTCTGAAATAGTAGTTCTGAGCAGGGCTTTAGCTACTGTTTTACAGTGAAGACTTCAGTAATGGCATATAAAAGAATCATGCTCCATTAAATTTGGAAAACTTACTTGTGCAGGTAAGTGCTTTATGGATGGATTAATGAGTAACTTGTACTTCAATTAGTTGCTGTTCTCCTGCAGTGGAGTATTTGGGTTTCTTTTCCCCTATAAAACCTCTCCTTGTTTTCACTCAGTCATTTAGCCCTCCAAGATGCACATTGTCCCCAGTAAGCTGCAGTTACTCCTGATGGGGATAGTTTGTATTACTGAGTTTCATGCTGCACCATCCACTCTTCAGAAAGGTAGGATGAAAATTTCACATCTAGCTTTAACAGATTTCTAAGTACAAACAGTTTTGTTCTTGGGCAGTGACAAGCATGGGAAAGAAGTTGCACTGTTTTCACCCTCTGAAGTTTTTTAACCTAAGCGTTCATAGACCTAGATGCAAGGTAGCATTAGAATAGTTGGTTTAGGTTTCATTCTTTACTTCTATTCCAGTCCAATTCTGTGACTGAGATTTATTTTTTAATGAGCAATTCTTAGGAAACGTTTGTCAGATTCAGAATAAATAACATTAAATGTAGTTTATAATTAAATAAAATTAAATACACTTAGATTTGCAGCAAGGTAATCATGGTTTAGCATGGGCTGCAAACAGAATGGGCTGCAAACAGAATACAGCGATTCCTCTCTACCATTGTCTGATATCTTAGAATCCAAAGGGGTTTTTTTCTGGAACCGTTAATGATTGCAATTGTTCCCATTTCCTTCATGAAGATTTACTGGTATGGAGATCAGATTTGACTGTTTGCATAGCCTTTTTGCTTCTGTTTTAAATATGCAGTAGTAAAAAAGGAAATTTACAGTCTAATTTCTAAAATGCTGCAAATAAATTGTTTTCACTGTAAAAACCCTATTTTGGCTGTCAAAACAGGTGTGACATGTAAATCATCACAAAAAGTTGTCCACATAATCAATACAAAGTGTAGTATTCTATAGAACTGTATTCACTGGGTTCAGTGTCCTGCCGTTGCAGACAGATGTGGTGCAGTTTGCATAGAAATCCCTCATTGGATAACATCTGTCCTGAAGCAGTCTCTAAAGCAGTTGGGAATCTCTTTGGCTTACAAATACCAAACGGAACATTTTAGAGTTTGTCAGATTATAGATAACATGAATTTGGTATAATATTACTATAAATATTAACTTGTAACTTTTAAATAATCTTGCATACGTTATTCAATGCTGAAACCAAAAAGGAAGTTTTAGTTTCTGAATCTGATTCCCCCACCAGCACCAAACTCCTTTTGGTAAAACCTAGATCCTAGTTTTCAAAATTTTGTCTCTGTTGCGTTTTCCCCTTTTCCTCACTGTATCTTTGCACATGGGAAAAAGGTGGGTGCAGTGAGAATTAGAAAGATTGCAAAAATCAGATAAATGAACTGGAACTATTTCTATATAAAGCCCTCTTGTTTTAAAAGCCTAGGGTAAGTAGCATTGTGTCAGCATTATTGTGACTCTGGAATCACTTCCATCAGCCATGCTAATCCTGAGGATAATTGCAAAACCCTTTTTCTAGGTGTTGTAAGCTGCATTTTACAGTTTGCAGGTTTCCATGTTTTCCAGGCAGTGCATACAACTATTGGTCATCTATCCTTTGAATGCAGCCACTTACCTGAGAGAACAACAATAAAATATTCCAAGCTTACAGATGCTAAATTTTTCTCAGTTTAGCATTGAAGAGAATTTGTACTAAAATGTGTTTGAGATATGTTTGAATTCAGTGAGTTTTCATACAGGGAAAAAATAAAATACATAAAGTGTGCCCACTGTTGAGTTTGGGAAATGCGCTACACAGTATCCCTCTCGTACGATGGGCGGCTTTGCTTCTTTTTCTGACAATACTACCAAATCAGTACTTATCCGATTATCAGTACCACTGATTTTTGCTTCTGTAAATATACTTCCTACCAAACACATACACATTATCAGCTCCATTTAACCGTAGTAAATGATGATAATGATGAGTTAAGAAGAAATAAACTCGGCACAGTAATAGATGTTCTAAGAAATTAAGCCACTGTTATCGGTCATCCAGGTCTGTATGTTGTACGTTTTGACCCTGTTTGTCTAACCAAAGTATTCTAAATACAAGTGCTGGGTGTGAAGGTGTTTCTAAAAGCAGTAATGAAACTGTGATTTAGTCCCCAAATAATTTCAAAATTTGCTTTAAAGAAAAGGCTGACATTCAGAAAGTTCAAGTAAGCATGGACCTAATGAGAATATTAAAATATGTGTACACACTCACACACATTCACTCGTGGAAGGCAAAATTTTTATCTGTGGTACAGTTGATCCAAAAAGTGCTCATTTGGAGAACTTCCACAAAATAAAGTACATTGCCTTTTTCCTGCCCCAGTTTAGCCTTATTTTTTGCAGTTCGTATTAGGAACTGTAAGATGTGGCTGCTGTCATGGCAGAAAGACTGCCCTAACTTCTGTGCCAGGCCATGCCTTCCAGTTCTATGTTACCAAAAGAGCAGAAAAACTTAAACCCAGACTGAATCCTTTCTTATTTTTCCCCTCTCACTCCTCAGATCCTAAATGTGGGCAGAAATTTCAAGAGACAAAACCATGGAGTTACCTTAACCTTTTCACTCGGATTGTTGGGGGAAACCAGGTGAAACAAGGCTCGCATCCATGGCAGGTTTGCACAAGCAAATGTGTTTTTATCTTCAGAACTAAGTCCTGGCTTTTCATAGAAATTACAACAGAGGAAAACAAGAATACTTTGTTCCTACTGACACTTGTGGTGTATTGTTGGGCTCCACCCTGCTTTTATGAAAAGCAGTGAAGCAGGTGAAGAGGACATGGAACCTGCCTTGCTTCCTGACAGTTTATAATCTTTTATTCTGTTTAGCATTATTTCTGAAAGAGCAGCTGTGAGTATTTGAAAGAGGCATGGGTGAAATTATTAAAAAGTAAAGCACCTAACCAGGCACCAAGTCACAGCTGAGGGAAGAACAGCAAGAATTGGGAACTCCTTAGATTCAAGGACTGTAAGAGAATGCTGTGGAAGTGTGTTTGCTTGAAATGCAGTGTGTACTTTAGCTATGAGAATCTTCAGAGTGCCTGCATTTAGTCTCTCCTTTCTTCCTCACATGCAATCAGAGCAGATAAAAGATTTTCCTTTATTTGACATGCCTCTTTATATGATGCAGGTTTCCTTGAAACGGAGGCAGAAGCATTTCTGTGGAGGTACCATTGTTTCTGCTCAGTGGGTGGTCACGGCAGCTCATTGCGTCTTAGACAGGTATGAATGTGATATTTCAGGAGCAGGCTGCAGGAGCAGAAAAGCATAGATTTTAAGTGTGTGTGTGTAATGGGGCATCTTTTTGTGGTGATTACTTATAGGCCATACCCTTTTATTTGTAACCAATATTTTCCATGTTTTAATGGAAAGGGAGAAATAACAATACTTTTGAAAATCTCAGAAATTAAGAGTAAAATGAACTTAGAGGGGTTGGTGGAGACTGGTTTTGGGAGTGTAGGTAAAAATCTGTACCCAACTAGAATTACCAGGTGACCAAATTTTTTCTTTTAGCAGTAAAAATTGGCAGCGTATGTGCACATGCAATTAAATGGTGAATGGCTATAGTACTGATCTCTCGCATGCTGATGATTTCAGCCTTAGTGCTGATATAAAACAAACAAATAAACCCATGATGTCTGTGGATGTTGTGCCGAAGGTTTCAATTCTGATGCTGTGGTGGCTTCACTGAGGTTCTAATTCCCATATAGTTGATAATGAATCTTCATACTGATAGATCACCTGCAGTTATAAATTTGATCTGTATCTGGCATTGTGTGTGATCACATCTTGGTCAAATTACCCAAAAAGCCTGCAGAGCTTGTGTTAGCTACAGAAGGACAGGCAGTATGTAAACCAGCATAAAGCCTCCTGACCCTAAAGTGATTCAAGTCTGGGGAATAAATTTGAAGGAGAATAAAAAAATCTATAATGATTGCTTTTGTGTTATCTTGCTGCACATCTGATCTGGTACTAAAGCAGGATTCACTGTGTTTGTAAGGTGTAAACTGAAAATGCTTGAAAAGTGGTCTTATTTTTTCTGTATTTTTTTTTAATGTCCGTATCTTCTGTCCTGCAAAAAGCAGTGTGACTGAATGTTTTTAAACATTTTAAAGTAAGAGGGCCTGGTTCCTCAATGGACCACCAAAGCGCAGTCAGGAGTATAGCTACATGATTTTTCTTCTCGTTCCTTTTAGTTTGATTTCTACTGCAGGGCATACTCAGCTCTTGCTGACTGTATGTATTAAGTGTTCTCACATCTGAAGATGAAAGGTATTGGATATTAGGAATAAGATCTTCTCTGTTTAAAAACAATATTTTTCCTTTCATTTTCATGATTCTGTGGCTGAATTTTTATTTTTCTATTCTATTCTATAGGAATATCCTCCAGTATTTGGATGTCACTGCAGGAGAGCATGATTTGAGGATCAGGGAGAATAGCGAGCAGACACTCCCAGTTAAATATGTCATTAAGCATCCAAATTTTGACCCCAGAAGGCCTATGAATTATGACATTGCCCTTCTGAAGCTGGATGGAACCTTCAACTTCAGTAAGGCTGTAGTTATCTATGATCTTTTGCAGTGGGGAAATGTAAGGCCTTTGCTTCTCCCAGATGCTGTGAAAAGTCTTGAAACTCAGTTTAAACCCATTTCACAGCTGTCAGGTTATACCATTTCCACAGTAATTTGCAACAGAAGTATTTTAAAGTACCAGAGAAAAGTCAGAGAAATTGATCAGTTGAATTAAATGGTCATATTCAGACTTAATACTCCCTTGTGAGGAAAAAGGTATTGTGCTTTGCATGCAGGAGATTAAAGTTTGAATAGGTGTTTTTATTTTTTTTATGTAAGGTGTAGTTAGAGATTTCTGCCTCTGGTGAGCAGTAGAGCTAGCCAAAGCAGACCAGAGCTTGGAGCATACCACAGTACTGTCTGTACCTTACTAACGCCCACTCTGCTGTTTGCCCTTTCTCTTCCTGCAAGCTATGGAAAGGAGCATGGAATTATCTTCAGTAGTGGCAGAGTGGTCCATGTGGGGTTAAAGGGGAAGGGGAGGGGAGCGTAGCCATTGCCTCTCTGTTTCCTGTCATGTGAGCCAGCCATTTCTCAGCTGTACACTAACTTTGCCCTACGATGAGCTTTTCTGGAAAGTTATTACACACCAGTTTTACATAACATTGAGGTGCACAGAAGATTCCACCCCAAACTTTGCTCTTCCAAAGTCTCCAGATCACTTCATTAGGTTGCTCTAATAGCAGATAAGTTTAAGCTGAATGGCAAGGCCTGGGCTGAAGCTTGTGGTGCTCATAGCTTTCTTTTTCCATTCCAGAACACAGAAGTGGAGGCACAGATAAATTGTCAAATGCCATATTACTCAGATGCCAGAAAAATAATAATACTTCTAGTTAAAAAAAATTAAAGAAAAAAGGAAAAAAACCCCGATCTGAGAAAGAAAGCTTTTTTTTTTTGTTGTTGTTGTTCTTTCAAATACTTATCAGTAAAATTCATGTCCATGTGTGGCAGGTTCATCAGTTTTGCCAGCATGTCTTCCTGATCCGGGTGAAAAGTTTGAAGCAGGATATATCTGCACTGCTTGTGGCTGGGGCCGTTTAAATGAGAGTAAGTGACTCCAATTGTCCTTTGACATTTGGGCTTCTCAGTGTCTTTATTTCTGTAGCAAAGAGCTTGATCTTGTAGGTCATAGACAGACCAGAAGAAACCATCAACTGGTCATAAGAATTGTAATCTCAAAATGGAATCTCTGCTAGCTTCTATGCCTACCTGTGAATTACCTCAAAATCGATCATTACAATATATAGACCCGTATTTCAATTTTGAAACATTCTGAGATTTATTGAAGCAAAACTGCTTATGTACACGGAACTGGATGTTTATCTAAACATGCTTGTAACCATATGTCTTGGAGCAAGTTTCCAAGTAATTATTTTTGTGTATTAGCTATGACATTAGATTCACCTTTCAGCATTCCTTATTAACAATTTTTTTTTGTTTTTCAGATGGAGTACTCCCTCAGGTCTTATATGAAGTCAATCTACCAATCCTAAACAGAAAGGAGTGTTCAAGAGCACTATCAACTTTAAATAAACCTATCCAAAGTGACACTATAATGTGTGCTGGATTTCCAGATGGAGGAAAAGATGCCTGCCAGGTCAGCTGAACAGAGGGTCTTGTGTACTTACAGGTTTTTCCTCAGAAGCTGGAGGCTCTGTGTGCCTAAGTGAATATACACACTGTAAACTGTGATATTTGGAGTGTATATATTTTGATCTGTCAGTTCTTTCAGAGGTTCTATATGGGCCAGTGTGCTCAATTACATGATTCCATTTTAATTATTGTATGAAATGTTTGACAGGTTTGCTGTATTGAGATGTATCCCAGTATATGGGCACAGAAGAGACCCCAGTAAACTCTTTAAGGCTTGCTCAGTGGTATTCGCATACTTGTGGGTTGCAGACTTTTACTTGTTTTCTTACAGGGGGACTCGGGAGGCCCTCTTCTGTGTAGACGTAAGCACGGTGCCTGGACACTCGCTGGTGTGACCTCCTGGGGCATGGGATGTGCTCGTGGCTGGGCGAGTAATAGCAAGAAGAAACATTATAACAGAGGGTCTCCAGGAGTATTCACAGACCTCAGCGTGGTGCTTTCCTGGGTTCAAGAGAACATGAGTGCGGGTATTGAATCTCCACAGTAATGTGTCCCATGCTTGTGACAACTCTTCTGTCTCATAGTATTTCATTTAATTTTATGCTTTTTAAGATACAGCGCTTAGATCTTTCCTATTTCTCCTGGGAAAGCACTACAGCTTTTCACAATACCTTTAAGCATGTGGTACTAATTGGCAGTTGCCATAACCAAATTGAGAGCATTGCAAATGCTTGCTTCTCTTACACTTTGCTTCCTACTTGGACTCTGTGTGTGTATGTATAAATATATATATATATTTATTATTATTATTTTTTAACTTTAAGAATGGTCCTTTTATCCAGCTAGTGAGTTAGCTTTGTTTTTAGGTGAAAATTCACCACTGAAAGTTGAAAGTGTTGAAAATTCCATACCTGACAACATAGGGAAAAGTCATGCTCTCCTGAGTGCTTTTTGCTTACTTTGCCCAAAAGGCAACGTATATGCCCTCTGTGCAGGGGAACAGCACAAAATTATCCATCACTTCCAGAGTTACAGAGCTGGAGATATAAATGACAGTCTATCCAGAGATGAGCTTCACTGAGAGCATTAAGAAACTGAATGCTTACTTTCCTCCATTTTGGGCTGTTTTCATTAAAAGGTCTGTTGCTCAGACTGAGCAGTGGCCTGTCAATGTATGATCAGTTCTGGAAGTGGCTACTCCAGAACTGTTTATTCCAAAGTCAGCATTGCCTGAACTTGCCTGAATTGTGTTTTCATTCTAAGCCTACTTTATTGTAGCCACTGTGTCTCCAAGAAGCATTTGAATTTGCCTCAGTTCTAGCTGTATAAAATTACCATTTCACACAGATAAAAATAAAACCTACTTTGTGAATGTGGAACTGCAGTTATTTATTCTTCTTTTTTCCACCCCCTTCCCTATCCCTCCTCTGTTAGATCTGAAAATGAAAAGCTCCCCAGGTGAGTACAGTATGTTTTCAGTATCTTCTATCTGTGTTGGAGCATTAAAAGACCCCCAAAAATAGTCTGATGCATAATCTATGAAAGAAGAAATGTGAAGAAGCTTGAATCATCAAAGCACTTTTAAATGTATACTTTAAATGTCTATTTATTTCCATCCTGGTTGTGTAAAATTAACAAAAAAAAAAAGAAGACTTACGTAGAGTAGTACTTATGTACTGGTGGCTTAAAAAGGAATTCTCCTCAGCTAGCTACATACATAAAGCTGTATTTTTATTGAAATGCAAATAAAATGAATGGGAAAAATATAGGACAGAACCTCAAGCAGTGTATGAAATCTAGTTAGTGGCGTTCATTCTGCATAAAAATATAGATTTAAATAGAAAGTTTGAGGTAAATTACTAGAACTTTTGCACAGTCTATGATGAATCTATTTGTCTACTGTCTATTTCTCTGAATAAAATAAAAGAACTCCAACAAAACATGAAATCCAACGCTAAATGTAATGTATTTTAAAACCGAAGCCTTACTTTGATCCTGCCATCTTTATGTTCTTGTTGTACACTTTTCTTCTAAGTACAAGTTCACAGATACAAGATACTTGAAACAACTCTAGGGAACTAGATCTTAAAATCTTAATTTTAGTAATCTAGAGTGAGATCTCTCAGATGATGAACAAGCTTGGGTACATGGTCAGTTCGGATAGACTCGCGGTGGCCAGTGAGAATTGGGTATTTAAGTGCTGTTTGCGTCTTTGGAGTTGTTTAGTGGTCTTTCTAGGACACTTCAGGTAAGATAATTTTGTAAGTTCATGAGTTGTTAAATCATTGTCATATACACAGTTGTTGATAAATGCCTTCCTTGCCTTGCTTACCTTGCAGGGAGAAGGATGATTTTTGTATGGATAATTTTTGTAAGTGTGTTTCTAGAAATACTTGCAGTGCTTTGTCTACTTGAGTACCTCTAATACCACATTGTACTGTTGCAAAATTCTCCTGCTGTAACATGGCTGCAATGAATATGTCCTGAGGCATGCAGTTTTCCTCCCTGAAAAACATTTATGCTGAAATACTCATTTAACAAATAGTTTATTTGAGGTGAAAAGCATTTTTACCGTAACAAATGATAGTGCATTGGCGGTACTTCATTTCTGCTCCCAAATTATGGGGTTTAAAACTGGCTTATCATAATTCCAGAAAAGGAAGAGAATGAGGACCCAGCATCAGTCTGGCAGCAGAAACAGGGTACAGCTGAGCAGTCTTGAGTCATGCAGTATTCTCTAGGTGTTTGAGCTTTTTGGTGGAACAGATGCTTGGTTACGTGTCAGACCTTATCCCTTCTATTTTGTTTTAACTCTACAATGCAGCATTTTGTAGCATTCAGGATGGCAAACTCCCTGACATTGAAGGAGAATTACGTTTTCCTGGCAGTCCTGAGCAGTTCTATCAAAACCACCAGTAAGTAGACAAAACACAGTCTTTCCCCAGAAACTGTTCCCTGTACCGGTGTAGTTGGGGTTTTTGTTGCAGGTTTGTAAATGTGAAATAATTTGTTGTTCCAGATTGTGTGTATGGACTCTATTTGTGCCAGAAGGGAACTATATATTGCTTCATTTTTCCCACTTTGATATAGAGCCAGAAACGTTTTGTGACTATGATTCTTTATCAGTTTATTCAAAAGACAACAGACTTGTTGGTGAGTTGCCATCCCCTTCTTCTTTGACATATTCTGTCAGTGTAGCCTTTCATTCTAACAGCAAGTACACTCAATGAGGACATCGCGTTTGATTATGCCTTACTTCCATTTTCATGATGAATGCATTGTGACATATGACTTAAAATAGAAGAGCATGGGAGGAGAAAAGAATGGAAGATGCCTGGTAGGGAACTGTGTCAGCGCACAACCTTCTGGTGTCAAGGATTTTTAATAGTATGCATTCATTTGGGCTAATGGATTAATAGGGAATGTAGAGGAATGAGTAGGCGATTTCCTTTTCATCCCAAGATTTTTATAGCTAAGGTTTTTTTTTAGCTATATATATTTTAAGCTGTAACTAAATATGGTGCATTCAAGTTTTCTCAAGTGACTAAAGACTTGAAGCAGTTATTGTGCTCTAACACTATATTTCAGGAAAGTTCTGTGGAGGAGATCTTCCGTTACCTATTTTGGTTGGCTCCAGTAGTGTAAGGCTGAAATTCGTTTCTGACAACAAGGATTATGGAACTGGTTTTTCCATGACCTACAAAGCTATTACACCAGATATCCTTCCTGGTAAGTGTAAGTCTGGTAATACACGTGTCTGCACTCTTGGGTGGTGACCTGAAAACAATTTTCAGCAGAAGGCCTAATCAGAGGGAGCCCCTATGATATTTCCATGTGGATGATGTTATAAACAAGTGAAGCATGGTTAGGCTGCTGTGTGACATAGTGTGGAAACTGGCATGCCAGAAAGAGATACGGTAGATGCTATTGAGGGAAGCCCTCCTTTAGCTTTGCCTCTCCTCCATCCACTTTATGCAAGATCTCATTTCCTTCCCTAATACCGGAATATTTTACAGCTCAATTAAAAGATTAATCAAATTACTAATTTGCAGAATTTGCAGATGAAAGTTGCTTTGCTAGTCCCAAGCCTGCTTTCAGGAAGGAGCCCTGAGGGAGAGGGCTAATGTTAAGGCACACATCATTGCTTTCATTTTTGCTGTGCAGAGTGGTTCATCATCAGTGAGCCAAGGGCCAGCTGCTGGCTGGACGATCCAGCTACAGACACCTGATGTTCCTGTTTCTGCAGCTTTTCCAGATAGTTTCTTCCCTTTGAGGAGTGTAGGGAGGAATCTCCTCCGAGGGGCCTTGCCACTGCATAGCCCATCAGGAAGACATATCCTTTTGCTCTGTTTTATGTCTCAACTTCCCAGCCAAGGAAAGTTGGCAGATGTTCTGTCACGCCATGTCCTGTTTTTCTGTAACCCCACAGAAGGACCTGTGCCTGCAGTGTACTGCCTGTAGCCACAGGGGAATGCTATAGTTACTCTTAAATTGTTAAATTGTGAATTGGGTTAAATTATTCTTCTGCCTTATTAGAAGATTAAAATTGCAAATGTTCTTTACAGCTCTTTCAGGCACAAGGATCTGCTTGCTGCCCTTAGCCTGTTCTGTTTCTCAGCTGTGTGAAAGCACTACAGGATTTTTTTTTTTTCATTTGCTTTTTTGTGTGTGTATAAATGATTTAATAGGAAATCAGAGTGCCTCCATTTTTGTTTTCCTGGATTTCCAGATTCCGGCTGTGAGTCCTTAGCTGTCCTTTTTGAAGAAGGGGTGTTACAAAGTATGCACTATCCAGAGCACTACAGCAACATGGCAGACTGTCAATGGATTGTTTGTGCACCAGAGAGCCATGTAATCAAGGTAAAATATGAGCCTTTCTTGTGTCTATGGAATGGAAGTGAGTACCATTAAGTAAACAAGAAATTGTTTAGCTAAGGAACAGCAAGATCAAACAGCAAAAGCTTGAATAATGCTGCTGTGTGCAGTTAGAGAAATTTCTGTCCATCCCAGAAGCCAGATAGGTTTTAATTTCTCCTTTAGATTACAGTAGAATAGAATTTCCTGCTTAAAATTTTAGCACGACAGGTTCTTCTAGCAAATGTAATATGTGATGTATCACCTGTGACAGGCTGGAATACCACAGAAATCAAACCCTAAGGGAATCATTGAGAGTATTAAAGACCTTATTATAGATCTTTGGTTTGTTTTGGTGGGTTGTTTTTTCTTTTTTTCTGTGTGAATTTAACAGCAAGGTTCACTTTTTAATTGTTTTTTTTTGTTTTATTTTTTTTTAATTTTCTGCTTATTTAAAGCTGACATACCAGTCTTTTGAAGTGGAGGAGAGTGAAGATTGCTCTTATGATGCTGTAACTGTGTACGAAGATGTGGGGAAAGAAGAGCAACTTGGTGTGACTTTTGATTTTTAACATGTTTTGGGCATGACAACTTGTTTTGGTTTTTATGTCTTTCACTAGCTGTGTTTTACAGTGTAAAGTAAAGTTTGGCTCTAGAATCTCAGGTGTGATGTTTCAGGTACTAGTTTCAGTAGCTTGAAGAATGCTTTCAGATATTGCTGCATCTGTTCCACTTACAGAGACAAAAGCACATTGAATAGAACAGTTTTGCATGTGTGGGTGTGTGTTCAAACTCTATATGAAATGCACTTCTGAAATCGTGCAAATGAAGAAGAGGGCATAACACAATAATTTTTTTTATAGTAATGATCAGACACAGAAAGCACCCAAGATGTCTCCTTTCCAGAGTCCAGTTATTTAGATGAGCATTCATGTAATTCTTGCTACCTTGCTGGAGATTCCCCTGGCTTACACTGAATGAGAGGAAGACCTGTCCCAGTCAATTGATTTCAGCACTTGCTAAATACTGGTGCTTAGACTAGTGCTAGCAGGTGCTAGTGCTGAAACATTAACAAGGGGAAATCGGGTTCCCAGTGTGTTCAATACGTAAGGGCAACCTATGAGGGTGAGCACTATAATGAACTCTTGCAAAATGCAAGAGTCTCTTTGTTCTTAGGAGAATAATTAGTGAACAAGGACAGACTGTCAGGGATAATAGAGCAGTCCTTCAGCCTTAGTCCACTTATCTTTGCTCCTCTCTTGTGCACAGTTATTTTTTATCTGCTTGTGCGAACTGGAAATACTGTGTTAGAACATGTGTACCTACTCCTGAAAGAGATAAGGATGAAAAAATACACGTTAAACTGCAATGACCCTTTGCTTTCTCATCTTCAGCTAAGTCTTGTGGATTTGATCTACCAGCACCTGTTCTAAGCTCCTCTGCTGTGATGCTGGTTGTCTTTCACTCTGATCAAACAGAGACCTTTGGAGGATTCAGAGCTACAATCTCTTTTGTTCATGTAACAGGTAATAGAAGTAACTTGTGAAACTGCCTCTTTGGCACAGCACAAAAGGCTCTTTGGTGAAAATGGCTATTCAGAATTATTTTGCTCTAGGATATTCTAATCTAACAAATTGTTTCAGTGAAAAACCTGTATTGTGAACCTATTGAGGTATTAAACAAAGGGCCTATTGAGTGAGTGAAGAGGAACAATGAATCTACCTAAAACCTGAGGGTTTTATTTTGTGTAAGAGAATTCTGGTATATTTTAAATGGCATATACTATCATATGAAGATGTAATAGCACAGATCCCTACTGTAGAAATCTATTCCTTTTATAAAAATTATAATAAAGGAAATAAAAGTGATTTTGTAATCAAAATATCACACAAGGCAGCCTGGTAACACATTTTCTGTTTTCATTTGATAGATTTAGATACTTTGACTTCAACTAGTGAAGAAGAATTTCAAGATAAGGAAACAACTGAAGTTACAACAGGTAAACAACAAGTACAACAAGTTACAACAGGTAAGCCAACCTGAATTTCCCGTCCTATTCTTCATGGGAATAAGGATTACCTTCTAAACTATAATTTAAATGGTGTTTGCTCCAAGTATTTGATGGATGGAATGGTAACACTTCTATGGTCTGGCTTTAGAATAGCAGAACCGATGTTTTCTTGTTTCATTTATCTTGTTAAGTCATTTACAGTAATGCGGTGGCATTATTTCATCTTGTATGTCAGTTTACACCTACTTGCTTTGCAAAGTGTATAGAGTAGTTGAAAATAACAGTTAGCATTTTAAAACTTCCCTTTTTCCCTTCAGTACTTTACGGAGAACAGGGTGAGTCCATATTCATTGCTAAAACTTTTGCAGTTAAGCAGTTGATTTCATCTTGGTGAAGCTGTTGTTGCTAAGATTATCTCCTAATGCTATTTCTAAACATTTGGTTCCATTGTAATGAGGGAAGGTGAAAGATTTAGCAAGAAAGGGGAGGGAGGAAGCTTTAGAAGCTACAGGGGGTACCTTGTAAATAGACTATTCTTTGCTTGTCCAAATCTTAACTTTTAAAGACTTCTTGAAACATCAGAACTTTCTGTTTCAGATGATATTTGTGGAATGCCCTCAAATCAGCCCAGGTTCATCTTCAGTAGGATAATTGGAGGTGAAGAAGCTGTACCATACTCATGGCCTTGGCAGGTCAGTGTACAAATTTCAGATGAGCGTATCTGTGGAGGAGCAGTTCTTGCCAAAGAATGGGTTGTCACAGCTGCTCACTGCTTTAATTCTAAGTAAGTACTCTGGGATGAACCTTTCCCTGGAAATGTATGTAATTGCATGGGGCATCTCTGCAGCATGGTGGTTCTGCCCAGGGTGGCTGGTACGGTTTCGGTCACCACCTCTCTACAGCTCACGCTGGCACTGGATTCCTTTGCTCCACACACAAGTACTAGGATCATAGTGGCTACTAAGGAACTAAGTAGCCTAGGTTTGGTTTTCATTCAGATCTGTTTTCAGGAAAGACAACAAGATACTAATTCCATTGTGATCTACCACTTCCTCTTAGGTAACTCCTTTGTGTTTGGGTCATTTACAGATTATGTTTTCATCCAGGTAGAATCAGTCTATCAAGAAATATTAAAATTAGTGTATTTGTGTAGATTTTGGAGGACATACAGGAGGCTTTTATGCATAGTGTTAATGCCATTCCCTTATTAAGAACCTATCAGTCTGTTAAATCAAATTATATGGAAATTTTTCTGTATTTATTGAGAGGGGGTCAAGGGATAGTATATGTGACTATCAGGTTCTTTAAAATACTTTTTAAGTGGAACTTCTTTATTCATCTGTTGGGCTGGACACCACTTACTTGGAAGTTCACGTTAATCACAGTTATGTTAATTTAAAGTTCATGTACATTTGGTCATTAAAATGTGTTTTAAAAAATCCTCCAGGATTGCTGATAATTTGGTGTTCTGGCTGGTTTTCAAGTAAAGCTGCAATTACTTGAAGATGCGAATAAGCTTTCAAAAGCCCCAGATGTCAAAGATGTTCAGACATCTATATTCTCAATTTCTTTGATTCTTTTCCCCACCCTCACAAAACTGGGGACCTGAAATGCAAGTGCTGTTTTGAGTTTTGGACTTTGGCTTTTAAGTTTCTAAATATTAGTTTGAAAAATTTTATATCAGGAGCATTGTTATGCTGTCCTGAAGGTGCTGTTTTAAGAGCCATATTAAGGAGGATTTCTCTATTGCATGTTGCCATCACATCAGAATTTGTGTACATGGCTTAATGATCTATACAGCTAATTTCATCAGGGAGTCATGACAGGTTTTCAGGCAGTGAGAGGCTTTGGCTAAGAAACTAGAGTGAAATGAAATGTTTCTGTCGCATTTCTTTGTATCATTTGATAGGCAGTAATGTTTTAGAGGTCACACCTTTTTTATTAAGAAGGTAGGGACCAGCACTGTCCCTCGATGATACGGACCATGCAGGCCTTGTGTTCTCCATCAGACACCCCCAGTCCTTATAAAGTGACTTTTCTCTCAGTTCACTGTGTTCAAGAGTTCCTGCTGCCTCATCGTGGACTATTTCATGCTCCCTAGAAGTCAGTGGGAAGATTTCCATAGATTTGTATGGGAGAATGCCTCAGGAGTTGTTGGTCCCAGAATAGGTAGGGTCCTAGTATCTGTTTTGGTTGGGGGAGGTTTCAAGATGTGCAGGTTTCAGGAATGCTGTTATATCAGCCTAGGAATGTACTTATCTTTTTTTAAGGGAACCATACAGAGACTTATGGATGGTGGTAACAGGACTTCATGATCTTACAGAACAAGAATACAGACAGGTACTATAAGTTCTACTTAATAATAAAATAGAAATCAATATTGCAAAATAGTTTTTAATGTACGTGTGTCTCCCAAATTGTTCATGATCCATAATTCTAATAGCCTGCAGGCTGACATTAATCTGCATTTGCACAACAGCTTTTGTGTGACTGGCAGAGAAGTTGTATCAGTACAGGTCTGTGTCTTCCCCAGTAATGAGCTCCAACACTCAGTATCCTGGAGGATACGTGAGTGAGGAGTGTATTGTCTCTGTATTCCCTGGTGACTACTGCCAAGACAGAAATAATTGGAGCACAAGTTTCCATTTTGCTCAGACTGGACAAATGTTTTTCCAAGAGCCTCTTCCTGCACTTGCTGGATGGAGTTTCCAGCACGTTCCCAGAGCCATGTCCAAGAGGCATAATCCTGACTTGCTAATATAAGAAAGCTAGTGACTTCAGTAGGTGCTTCTAAGTGTGTACTCCTCTCAAGGTGTCTTGCATATGGCCTGAATATTTATAACATTGAGATTAGGTCATTCAGAGAATGTCTGTGTCCTTGCTTTCCTAGGAAAGGCTGGTAAAACAGTATATTATACATCCAAGCTTTAACAGGACCACTATGGACTCTGATATTGCCTTACTGCAATTGGCTGAGCCCTTAGAGTTCAACCGCTACGTGCGCCCGGTGTGCCTCCCTACCAAGGAGGAGGTGGTGCAGCCCTCCAGCATGTGTGTTGTCACAGGATGGGGTGCACATGATGAAGGTATGCAGTCTTTGCTGTTTCCAAGTTGAGAATACTGTAGCTGTGCTTTAACGACTATGTTCTGTGTTGTAACATTCATTGGGTCTATACACTAGGTTCTGGAGAACAGACCTGGTAAAGTTTTCACTTGTGTAAGCTCAGCTAGACATGCAGGGAAATGGGTTGGAGGAAAGAAATCAGATAATTTAGATGAGACCACTTGGAAACGGGAAGAGTAAAGCTTCTTTCTAGAATCACTCATTCCTGCCTCTACTGGCTTCTGAGATGTCTTTTACTTCAAGACAGAGAAAAGGGGAAAAAACTGCATCAGCTGGAACTCCCCATCCTGGTGCTTGACACATGTCAGAGCTATTATGTAAATCTTCCTAGTAAAGTGACCCAGAGGATGATCTGTGCTGGATTCCCAGTGGGAGATGGCAAGGACTCATGCACAGTAAGTTGCATGCTTCACCTCTGCTTTCTGACACCTAGAGTATGGACAGGTGGGTTCTGAAATGGGGAGTGTTAAAACCATTTTCTTGCTGTTTTGCAAACAGGCTGTAGGTGATTTACAGCAAGTGACTCCTTAATAGTAGGACTTTAATTACTCTTATTACAAAACAAGATACTTCCCTTGAACAAGAGTTATTTCTTTGCCTTTTAAGAACAGAAACCGCCAAACACATGAGCAGCTGGGACCCCTTGTAGCTGAACTGATAATTTAGAAACGTAGGGAGTGATGACAGCTTATAAGAAGATTCCTTTATCCTTGTGCAGGGTGATTCTGGTGGCCCATTAGTTTGTCCTTCCGAAGATAACTTGGGATTTTACACCCTTCATGGAATCACTAGCTGGGGCTTGGGATGTGGAAGGAAGAGCTACCCAGGAGTATACACAAATGTTGGTGTTTTTGTTGACTGGATCAAGCAGGCTGTTAATGGTAGTGGTATGTATGAAAAAACTGATTAAATGAATCTTTGCTGCTGCTAGATGCTTAACTTCAGGACTTTTCCAGGGTGCCATTTTTATATTTTGGTGTCCAGCACTTCCTGAAATCTTGGCTGATTAGGTATTCAGCTAGGGATATTTTAGAAATGAACAAAGGAAATTAAATCAGTAGTCACTTCTGAAAATCTTATTTCTTCTGGATGTGTTATTCCCCTCTCTGTTGCATTTCTTGTGCTGATGAATGTTTTTTCCTTACTGCTGCTTTGCTGCTTTGTTTCTTAGGGCTGGGAGAAAGTAGGGAGGCACGAACTGACACATGGTGGCAGCTGAGCCTGCTTTGACAAATTTACAGCCTGACTTTGATGATGATCTTAGCAGAGTTTACTCTGTTTTATTTTTCTCTGTTTAGCAGATCTCCCCATTTTCATGGTGTGACCATCAAAAACACGGTTCTGATGGACCACGTTGTAAAACATTTCCAAAGCACAAATGTCACTGAAAGCAGAACTTGGTGAGAGTGTGTTAGCTCACAGTTGCTGAATAGATTCCAAAGTAGCTGATGCTTACCCTGGTGAATTTACTGCTGATTTACATGAATTGAGACTTTGGCTTTACACATGTGTGCTTGAGGCAGACAGTTACCTGTAGGCTTCTGACACTGTTAGTCTATCTTAGAAGGAAAGAGAGGGAAAACAAGCCACTATGTATCACATGGCAAGCATATTGTAGAATAGTTTGGGTTGTAAAAGACCTTCAAAGGTCAGCTAGTCCAATGCCCTTGCAATGCCCAGAACCACATCCAGCCTGGCCTTGAATGTCTCCAGGAATGGTGCATCCACCACCTCTCTGGGCAATCTGTGCCAAGATTTTACCACCCTCATTGTAAAAAAGTCTTTTACTCATGTCCAGCCCAAACCTCCCCTCTTTTAGTTTAAAACCATCACCTCTTGTCCTAGCACAACAGGCCCTGCTAAGAAGTTTCTCCTATCTTTCTTATAGGCCCCTTTTAAGTACTGAAAGACAGCAGTAAGTTCTCCCCAGAGTCTTTTCCAGACTGATAAAGTCTCTCAGCCTTTCCTCACAGGAGAGGTGTTCCAGCCCTCTGATTGTTTCTGTGGCCTCCTCTGGACCCACTCCAACAGGTCCCTGTCTTTGCTGTATGGAGGACTACAGGGCTAAATGTAGTACTGAAGAGCACATAAACACTGCAGAAGCGAGATCAAGTAACTGCCTGTGTAAAACAATGGAATGGGCAGTCAGTCATCCTTCCATTAAGGTCAATGGGAGCGTTACCTGTGGCTCTGACAGGACATATGCAGTGGCAGTAATAGAGCATCACTGAGAAGAGGAGAATATTATGTACTCGTTAGTGATGTGAATCAATACAATTGCATAGAAAAGGATATTTTTAATACAGTTCCTGTCTTACCAAATGCGTGTTGTTTAAACAGTCGTGTTTGAAAAGACAGGCCAAGGGCCTTTGGCACCATGGAGGAGCTGACAGCTATCCTAATTAATCTGCACATGTAATTAAAGAGCTATTTTAATCCACACACTGCAAACTGAGCATATTTACTTGTAAACAGCAATTTGCTTAATACCCAAATGTCTGCTTAAACAAGAAATTGTAGTTATGGGCTCCAGTTATCTTTGCAGGCTGTTTTGTACACAGCCTCAGTGTTCAGAAAGTGGATCAGTATGATAGTACAATAGGTAACACAAGTATAATCCTTCTTTGACATAATAACTAGAAAGTAAGAGAGGTACCTCATTTTGGTTCTGTTTATATCAATGGCAAAAGTCATTAGAGAAGTGTTTTCCATACATGTGTTTGATGTCAGTAACCGTGTTTTTTTGATGACACTGGCTTAGAACTTCTGGGTTGGTTTTGTTTTGGTTGGTTGGTTGGTTTTTTTCATAAAATACAATTTTATTTGTAGTTGGGGAAAAAAATAACCCCGCTAACTTTATTTCCCAATGAATATCATAAATGTTTTTCACCAGTTTCTCCTCTTCACTGTAAAGTTTTAGGCAAAAGCCCAGAAAATAATCTGGAGCATGAGCTTTCTGTGAAAGTATGGCTATACTTTATGATGGAAGGACTATGGACAAACTGAGATGAAGTGTAAGACACAGCTGTATTACATTATTGATATCATATGCTTGTTCTGTTTTGGATAAGCTCCCTGAACTGGTCTTTGGAGAGCAATGGAAGTAAAATATCCTTTCTAATTTTTAATTTTGGAAGTCTGCTAATGTTCAGTTACGGTAGAAGTTGCTATGAGCTGACAATACCAATTTAATTGTGCTGGGAGCAAGCATGTCTCATCACTTTGTTGCTATTTTATTTTGCTTAACAGGAACAAGGTGGCTTAAAATACCTGTAAAGTTTTTATCTGCTCATTAGTTTAATACAAGGATATCAACTGGGTGTGTTCAGAGAAATAAAAAGGCGGGGGAGAACTACAGGTGGTATCAGCTGTGCCAGCCCTATTGAATGCAGGGGCTATATGCTGAGAAATTGACAGCTCTTAAAAAAAACCCCTTTTGTGTATTTGAAGTGCTGCCTTATTGTTTGTCTTTGAATTGATTGTTAGGGTACTTTCTGTTTGACTGTGTGATATGGATCTTTTGTGTTTGCCCTAGTATGGTTTTACAAATAGTTTAGTTTTGCCTTTATTTGTTGTATCTTTTTAGTCTATTGTAAGCTGTCAGTATCTTTTAGCAATATCATGAACTGGTTTGTGATGTAAATGAATTTTGATTTTTAAAAAATAAAAAAAATTACTTTCAGTAGAGTTCATGTAATGGAATTGTTTTTTAGTTTTTACAAAATTTATTAAAAGCCCACTTTAATTTTTGACAGTTATATGAGACTTTCCTGAGCCCTGCAGTCAAAAGGTAGGATTCTGGTAGCCTACCTGAGTGCTGAGGTAGGCTTGGGTTCCCTGGTGCTTAAGACCTGCATATAATCCTTCTTGTTGGCATGTAAGTAAAAATGGCTTTGTAATGTTATATGAAAGTGAGTGAAGACTCGTCACATTGTTTATTAGTACTGTGCTAAACATTTAGAATAAGTCTGTGACCAGAAATACCTTGTTCTGACCTTTGGTTAACAGGAGCATCTGTGACCATAAAGCTTCCTGGCTAGCTCTGAACTGTAGTCCTGCTGGGGGGGGCGGCACATGTGTGCTGGGAGCCCAGCTACACTGCTGGTGATGTGCCAAGGCAGTCTTTGCAGAAGTGGTTATTAGAGCATGTTTGTAACCTTTGTTGGTCTTCAGAAAACAGAAAGTATACGCCCATTGTTAAAGCTTGTCTGGCAATAGTACAGAAGAGGAAGCGATTTACTGAAACCTGGGTTCTAGCTATATAGATACAAAAGATGTTAAGAACATTACTGATCTCTGACTCTATGACATGACCCCTGTGGATTCTTGATTCATAATTCTTTTTCTTTGCCACCTCCTTTTCCAGCCCAGGGCCAGCAGAGTGACTTGCTTCATCATACTGTTCCTGGTTGCTTGTGCTCCTGTGACATCCCCATTAGACAGCCAGATGACATCCTTAGCTGTACTCTGTCTGAAGGCATGCATTTCCTGACCCTCCTTTCTTCCACAGTGGGTCTGCCCAAAAACATATGACAATCATATATTTAAGTGGTAGTGCAGAACTACATTCTCATGATCTTCCCTGTTTTCTTCTCTTTTTCCCTAGTCTTTTTTCCTTTGTGCTTTCTGAGGACAAGTGGCACAAGGGCAGGTTTTATCTCATTTAAAAATCCATTTATTGGCATGCATTGGTTGCACAAAAGGAGTTATTTCTTCGTCTGAAGTGACTAGACTTGGTTCTTTGCATTTCAAAGGAGTGAATTTAACAGTAACACTGGAGGAACTGTGGATGTTATGTCTGTGTAAGACAAGTTTATAAGAGGAAAGAATTAGGCTTGGTTTATTGAGCTCTACAGAATTGCTCTTGCTTTTGTCTCACTGAAAGCAAAAAGGCGTCTTGTTCTTGAGGAAAGATGAATGCTCCCATCAGTAGTGCAGAGAACTACTGGTAGTTGCATAGCTGTGCACTTATTAGTCATAGTAGACAAAGTCCTGTCTTGAAAATTAAAAAAGTAGGGTAAATTTACTATTTATCCATCACTTGTTCCTATTTAACCTTCAGGATAAATTCTGGCTGAGCAATATGAATGTTTCTTATCTGTTATTTTTGTTCTGCCTTATTCTGCTTGAGTTTAAAGCCTTTTGACACATGGATATACGGTAGATCACTGGAAGCAAAATACATAAGAAAACCGAGCTGTACCGTGTTGCCAGAAAATAAGAAGTTGCAGCAACCATGGGGGGAGAATTTGGCTGCTTCTTGAATCGTAAAAATGGGTCCTTCAGCCTGAAGGGCCTGGGCTCAGTTATAGTATGGTTGCAGGATGGTGGCTGTGTGTGACACTGATAAAGGAGTTAGTTAATCTGTTTCAGGAACACAGTAGTAATATGTAGCATTTTGGTAGTGGCTGCCCTGCGTTTGAACTCAGGTGTGGAAAGCTAGTATTAACAAAGAATTAAAAAAGGGTGGTGAGGTATTAGTTCTCTGGTCTTCCATAGTCAGTACTTCAGTAGCTGAATGTTTTTCTTTCAGTCTTTTTGCAAGTCATATAAATGACAAGCATTCCAAAACCTAACAAAACAGATCTATTATCTTCTCCTTGTTTAACCATCCACAGCTTGGTAGACTGTGACATGATTTCTATCATTCCTTCCTTCCCCATAGGTTTCATCAGTTTGTTTTCTTCCTCCTGAAAAAGACACATCTCTGTGACATGGGCATGCTTCTGTTTTAGAGGGACTACTTTGACCCTTGTGGCACAGGCTTGGATTTCAAAGATGTGTGTTTTCTTTTAATTGACTTTGTGTCTGTCCCAAACTCTGTCACCCTGTCCTACCTTCTGTAGAGGGTAATAACGATACTTAGTCTCTTTTGTGGTTTTTTTTTTTTTTGTTTGAAAGACATTTGAAGCCTATAGATCCTAAATACTTTGTTAGTGCTGCTTGCCACAAAGTAAGAGAAAGGCACAGTTGCAAAGCCCAGCAGGCCAGCAGGGCACCTTGCTGGGTACACTGGCACTGTAATGCAGTCTTTACCTGTAATACTGGTGCAGCCTTAATGGCCTTCTGTTAGGATTGTACCTTTTGCAGGCTTGAGGGAGGATGAAAATGAATGATGCCGTCTGTGAACCTTGTATTGTTAGATAACATTGCAGGCTATTTCTGCCTGTAGGACTTGAACTTTGCTGTTTTACAGGACACACTGCGGCAGACTGGGACAGGACTAGAATTCTTGCACCGCTATTTTATGTTACTGAACATGAAGGCAATGAGAACTGAGGTAGGGGAAGGCACAGGAGGAACAAGGACTGTAGCCACTGAGTGTCTACTCAGGGTAACAGATTGTGTGGCTGTTTTGTGCACGGTGGTCCTGGTCGCTTGTGATGGCCCATGGAGGTGTGTGCTCCCACCCTGGGAAGCAGCACATGCTGTGTAGGAGGGCCCCGCGGCCCTTCCCGTCAGCAAGGTCTGCGTGCGGGATACTCCACTGGTATCTCTAAACGTGCCCTAGCTTTACACAGCACACTTCAAACGGGAATGCTGACTGGGGAAACCCGTTCCAGCGCGGGCTGTGGCAGGAGCGCGGTTTCGATCTGGCCTTGCCAGTCCAGTGCTGAGGTCCGGGTCCCATCTCCGCCGGGGGGCGCTGTAGCTACCGGCGCTGTGGCTGAGCTCGGTGGGCAGGGCCGGGGCGGGGCAGGGCCGGGGCGGCGGGCGGAGGACGCAGGTGGCGTGGTGCCTGCTCGCCGGGAGCTGCCATGGAGGCGCTGGCGGTAAGGGGCCGGGAGGGCTGCGGCCCGGGGCCGGGCGCCGCGTTGCGCCCTTCACCGTCTGCCTTTCTCCTCACAGGGTGTCCCTGTGGCGGTCGCCGTGGCCGTGGTAGCTGCATCCGCCCTGCTGCTGCTGCTGCTCAGGAACACGCGGCGGAGGGACGGCGGCCTCGTCACCCTGCAGGACCCGCTCGTTAAATACCCTCTGCGGCTGGTGGAGAAGGAGGTGACCGGAGCGGCCGAATGCCTGAACCCCCTCCCTGGGACCCAGCTCTAGGGGGTCCTGCTGAGCCTCTTCTCTTCCCGTCGGGCGGGAGCGGGCGGAGGTCTGGGGTGCGCTCGGGGCAGTGTGAGGGGAGGTTGGTGCCTCAGCCGGAGGGCGTGCGTGAGGGGCGGTGTGTCTTGCGCTGCCCCTCTGCACCTGCACTGTTTCTGGTGGGCAGAGCAGGATCCTGGAAAGCTTTGGTGTCAACGCTACTGTGTTGCACTTGCTCCAAGAGGAAGGTAGACTCGTGTCTTTGTATATGTAAATCCTACTTTGGAGCTGTGTTTCTCCCTCAATTTCTGCCCAGCGTGAATCAGCAAGAGGTAACCCTGACAGCCGGTGCTGAGGCACGTTGTGACTTGCCTGATCTTTGGCCACAGATGATGAAATGCGCTCGTTGGCCTTGGGCGATGGAGGGTTTCCAGATTCTCTTTATGTAAAGGCTCTGTAGGGATTGCGCAGACAGGAAGACACTCCTTGTGGAGTTAGAGAGGAAAAGACCGCTTAGAAACTTCTGATCTATTTAAACTTGATTTTCCAAAGCCATTTCTGCTTCCATTCCTAGCCTTTGGCTTGCATGCCAGCCAAGAACAGGCTTAGTAAAGTGTATTGTGTTGATTAGAGTCTGAAATTCAAAGCAATGGTGATGTTGACTTCACTCTGATTTCATTTACTTTGGTTTTTTTTAGGAAATTAGTCATGATACTAAGAAATTCCGATTTGGGCTGCCTTCTCCAGATCATAAATTAGGATTACCTGTGGGTAAGTACTGAAAGCACAACATTACATATATTTATGGGGTTTAGGAGTTATAATTGTACTAGGAGTTCTGACTGGAAAATTAAGGCTCAGCAAAGCAAGGAGTTAAAAGCTGCATCTGAATGCTGCTGTGTCAGAGAGAAATGCCAGATTTCCCAAGGGGCTGTGTTTCTGATCTTTTGTGTGCTTTTTGTTCTGCTTGTGTGAAATTGTGTGGTGTAGTTTAGAACAAGAGCAGTGAAACTGAACTGGGTGTGATGGAGTTCATCACCAGTGAGGATATAAGCAAGAATGGTATCTGTCAAAGTTTTTTCTTATTTCTTATTTGCATTTTACTTCCATCTAGTACCCTCACTTTATTGGTGACTGCCCTCAGGCTTTTGGCAAATACAGTTGCACTTGTAAATGAGAATGAGAACAACTCTGCCTGGAAGCTTGTAACTATTCTGTGCAGAGCAAAGGGGAAAATACAACTACTCTACATAGAAGATGCTGAAATACTCAGAAGCTTTTCTGTTCATGCGCTTACCTTTGGTTTACATACATATATGTATAGCTTCCTCTTGCTTTCTGTAGCAAGAAGTTCATTTCAGACTAGGATTGTTGTCTTCTTTCCCGTACCCTGCCAAACTGATGGCATTGAACCTTGGACCTTGTATTCATGGTAGTCTGTGCGGGGAAAGTCTCCCTTTCTGATCTGCAGATGTAACCCTGTTTGTTTTGTGCTGTTCTCGCAGTTTCCCGTGCTGTATGGCAGGTGTCAGGGTTTGTCCATGCCATGCTGCAAGCACGGCCTTCTTTTGCATCCTGCCTGTCAAGGGCAGCAGTCTTTCTCCAGGTTCTTACCTGGCTTGTATGGGAAAGGGTAATTGAACTGTCCACACTAACTAGACAAATGATAAATGAATTGAGAAGTGCCCCCTAGCGCTTGTGTTTATCCAGGCTGTATTCTTAAAAATCCAGGAGTAAGATCCTGAAACTGTATGTGCCAGATTACTTTCTGGGAGATTCCTGCCTTCTGCTTTTTTACCAGGATCATTTTGCTACAAATCAAAGTGTTTTCTGCCAGCACTGTTCCTGCTTTTGTTTTTCCGTGCAGCTCTGTAGATCAGTGCTGTCTGCCCGAGGAGATTCCTCTTGGCAAGGAGTTTCAGTTCTTTTAATCAGCAGATTAAAAGGGTGCCTTTTAGAGTCTGCCTCTTGGAGTGTTAGGTTGGGCAAAAAGCTGTCTGTGGACAGCAGTGTCCAATGCTGTGGCAGCTGCAGCATTACAGAGGTAGGAGTTATGGAGAAGGAATATGACCCAAGGCTTTGTTCTTGATGTCTTGGTGCAGCATCTCTGGAAAGTTTGTTCTGAGAGGCAGTTGCTGTTAAACCATAATACTTACTCCTTTGTGAGCTGGTGTACCCTTACTTGCACTTCACTGATAGATGTGAGAACAGCAGAACATACAGAGCACTTGAGAATGAGCAACAAACTTTCTATATCACTATTTTATAGTAAGTTTCCTACTTTTCTTGTGGCTTATCTTTGTAACATAGCAGCAGTCCTCAGTTACCCTGTGCTCCAGAAACTTTTGCTGCAAAAAGAGACTAAATGTTTTATACAGCATTTATTTGGTACAGACTTTCTCCATCATTGCTTGTGTTTAATGGTTTACAATACCTGCTTTTCTCTCCCATCTTTTCTTCCAGGGGTGAAAAAATAAATAATAAGTTTGTAATTCTTTCTCCCCAGGCCAACATGTTTACCTTTCTGCAAGAATTGATGGGAATCTGGTGATTCGAGCCTATACCCCAGTTTCCAGTGATGAGACAAAAGGTTATGTTGATTTAATTATAAAGGTAAATTTTGATTTCCTTTAATTTAGATAAATTGCTAATTGGAATGACTTCATTTTAGGGAAGTATAGAGTTTATTTTGATTGATTGTCTTTCCAGCAGCGTGACTTCATGGCAGACAACTCATTTCACATTATCCTTGACTAGTGAGTTGTATCCTGTGTATCTGCTGTATGTCACTGAGGGACAGCAGAGGTAGGGTAGATGGAGAAGGGAGTCACTTCCTTGGCAGTTCTGAAGGAACCTCTGTAGTTACCTTTTAACTGGTAATGCATGAATAGAAATTGCTCTCCCTTGAGATGCCTATGCTGCTTCTAACTGCTAATAGCTGGAAGTAGAAAACAAATCAATAAGAACTGCAAATTTTGCTGATGCTAGAGAGATTGTAATTATATTTCTGTAAGTGTCAGAAGTTGTTGCTAATGTGTTTATTGATTAAGAATATAGGATACGGAAACAAGGGAAATCATGTAAGCTGGGGAATACAGGATGATTTGATCCCAGGACTTCTGGGTTCTCTAATCCTTTTCTATGATAGAGTCTGTCCTTAGGGAAAAATCTGGGCTATTCTGTGTGCTCTGTTCTTCAAGTATGGTGAATTGTTACTAACTACATAATACTTATTATGTGCTTTGAAACATGAAAAACCTATAATGTGGCTCAAGTCTCTGGGAAAGGCTTGAGAAGATGCAGCAATGCTGCTGTTTTCAGGAGTGATTACAAAAATGGAGTAACATGAGGCTCTTGCTGGAGCAGTAGTGAAGTGAGGGCACCAGTACGTAATCTGGCTGCCACTATTTCTGTTAGCCTGGCTGTTAGTAGAGAGCATGGGGACATCTGTCTGACAGAGCTTATTTTGGCTGCTTCCTGTTGCAAAGCACAACAGGTAACTGGGAGCAAAGAACTCAGTTTCTTTGTCAGATGCGGAATGTCAGACCTGCAATATTGTGTACTACAGTCTTGTAATACTGTGTGCATGAAAGGTAGAGGGTGATACCATGCAAATTATTGCTTTTACAGGTCTACCACAAAAATGTGCATCCCAAGTTCCCAGAAGGTGGGAAGATGTCCCAGTACCTTAATGACATGAAGATTGGAGATATTATTGATTTCAGAGGGCCAAATGGGCTCCTTGTCTATAAGGGGGCAGGTATTGTGACATGAAGGTGGGAAAGCAAACGGGAGGATTTTGTGCTGGTTATTTTTAGTTTTATAAAACTTGATAACTTTGTAGCAAATCTTCTTTTTAAAAAGTGTGAAAGAGAAAATCCACCTTTCCTGGTCTTGATCAAGAGCCCATCAGAGTTCATATGATGGAAAGGAGTACTTTGTGTTTACTTTGTGTGAGGAGTAGCTGGTCTCACTCCTGGGACCATATCATGTCAGGAAATCACTATTGCATTATACTACTGAGAAGGCTGCACTGGAAATAATACCTCAGCTATATGTATGGAGGGAGATGTTCCAGATGCTTCTTAACTAAGGGAGGCTGTGGCCTAAAATGCCCACTGAGACTCTCAGTGTTGTAACTGAATAACCTGCTGATGAGAGCCAGCTCCATCTCATGAGTAAACCTGTTGACTGTGAGGAAATGAGTTCAGAGAAGTAATCCTCTTTCACGATGCAAGTGAAAGATTTTGCACTGATGCTGGCTGAAAGGGACTGTGCACTTAACTCTTACTTCAGGGGTATGTAAGTGCTCACTACTTCTCTGGATCGTGACCTTTCATGATGAGTAATAGACTAATGAATCTGTTGCACCTCAGGAAACAAGTGATGCATGTTTTGCAAACATTCCTTTCTGCTCTGCTTTGGCTGCTAGGGAAGCTTGTTACTAGTTACTTATCTCTTAAGACTGGAATATGTATAAAACACTTTTTGTATAAAACACTTTTGATGGGCTTTTCATTTGGTTTGGTCCTTGGAGATTAATTCAATCACAATTCTGTGGTAGGAATGGTGTACCCAGGTGTAGAGGAGCAATGGCCAAGGTGGTCTCTTCACAGGATAGCAGGAGTCACCCAGCTTACTACGGGTGTCACAGGAGATCTCAGTGACTGGAAGTGAATTACAGTAATAAAATACTAATCTTTGCAGGGGTTCTTGCTTGATGCTGGTTTACTTACAACTCCATTGACAGTGTACACATGCAAATGGTGAAATCCATGGTGCAAGTGAGCATGATGAAGATGTCTTTAACCTCTGTCGTAGGGGCTGTGGTTACCTTTAGCTACCACCAACGTTCACAGATGCCAAGTTGTGTTCTAGGCATGATGTGGGACTCTTCTTCAGGGACTGTAGCAATAGGACAAGGGGTAACAGGTTTGAACTTAAACGGGGGAAGGTCAGGTTAGGTATAAGGAAGAAGTTCTTTCCTGTGAGGGTGGTTACCCACAGAGGTGGTGAATGCTCCATCCCTGGCAGTGTTCAAGGCCAGGCTGGCCAGGGCCTCGGGTGACATGGTTTAGTGTGAGGTGTCCCTGCCCATGGCGGGGGGTTTGGAACTAGATGATCTTAAGGTCCTTTCCAACCCATTCAGCATTTCCAGATCTGTCCTAATTGCTAGCATATAGCAATCCATGTTTGTTTTGGAGTTAATATACCTATAGCTTTTGAATATTTCTTCTAGGTACCTTTCTTATCAAGCCTCATAAGAAGTCTGAAGCAGAGAAGAAGTTTGCAAAACATCTTGGGATGATAGCTGGAGGAACAGGTAAAACTATTCACATCCTGTGGAATGTCTAGAGAGCAAATATCTTTATGGGTATGTGTGAGAAGTATCAAACATGGTACTTCAGCAGCACAGCACTTACACCTGTATTTCTTTTCCTAGCAACTCTGAGGCTTTCCAGTGGCTTGAGCTCATTCCTGGGAGCTAGAAACTTCAGTTTTAATCTTGATTTACAGTGTGACCTCAGAGAAGTCGCTGTCTCTCTGAGCATCATTCTCAATGACCAAAAATGTTTTAGGACCATATCTTGGAGGCACAATAGCTGTATGTGATAGAGAATTCTGAAGAGGAAAGCCCCAGATAGAAGTACTTTGGGTTTGGATTGGTTGGGTGGGTTTTTTTAGACTGTTTGTAATAGTAGAATCCCCCAAGCTCTGCATTTGTCCCTGTGCAAACTAAGCTTCCACTGAAGACTGCTGGAAGGCAGCTTTAATACTGAAACTGCAGCCACAGAAAGAAGTACCCAATTTTTAACCACTCTGGTTTTTAACAGGAATAACTCCGATGTTGCAGCTGATTCGTCGTATCACAAGTGATCCCAAGGACTCCACTAAATGTTATCTTCTTTTTGCGAATCAGGCGAGTGTACTGACTCATCTGTTTGTCCTTCTTTAATGGCCTACCTTCTCTGCTGGCCTCTGAGCTTTCTGAAGTGATGGCCATTGACCCCTGGAGAAAATTCTGCTTTGCATGTTTCATACTCTTCCAGGGTCCTTGGGTTTGTGAATTTCACCCAACCATTTATGAGAAAATTTTATCTGGGATAGGACATTTAAAAATGATCAGCATGGGGAGGAGCAGGAGATGGTTGTTATTTAAGGTCTTAATATAATGTCTTGGAGTAAAACAATTTAAAGAGAAACTGAATAAAAAAATGATCCATAAGACTTATAAATACTTGCATGGTGCTCTCACAGTTCCCATGATCATCTTCTATTTGTTTTGAAGATCACTCCTTATAGTTTCACTTGTACTCCCTAAGTCCTATATTAGGGAATAAATACTGTGAACAGATCCTGATCCCTCTACTCATTTTACTCCTTTGCTGATTCCACGGAAGATTTTGTTCGGTTAGTCTGTTTCTGCAGTCAACCATGCTGGTATACAGGGCCACATTTGCCAGGCTCAGAAACAAAGTCAGTTAATTGTGATTTTTACCCTGAATTTAAAAGTTGTTAAAATTTCCATCTTTAAGTCAGTGTTTAGGTGGCTATTACGTCTCATAGGTTGTTGTTCCTAATCTGAATTTACAGAAGCCTTTAATGATAATAGCTATTGTGCATGGGGGGTGGGGGAAAACCCACTTGTTTTTTGTTTGAATGAGTTATTACTGCCTTTGTCCTGTTGAATGCCACATGAGCTCACCTTAGAGGGTACCTTGAGGTGGGTTGGACCTAAACTGCGGTCTCATTTTGCAGACAGAGAAAGATATATTACTGAGAGCTGAGCTAGAAGACATTGCTAAGAGGCATCCTGATCAGTTCACTCTTTGGTATACACTGGACAGACCTCCACAAGGTAAGCTGCTGGTACACACTGGAAGTGTGTTTGCTGGTCACTGTTTCACTTGTGTTCAAGAGGGCATTAGTATAATACCAAATCCTCCTGTCTTGCACTTCTAAATGACAAAGATGCTCCTCAGAAAGAAGTCTTACCTTAACACCTCTTTTGAACAGTGATCTAAACCAGGTGGGTCTTAGAAAGTGAACTAAAATTAACTCCTCTCACGTCAGACAAGTTATTCCGTGGATCTTTTGATGTATTCTGCAAGGTGCCAGTTTTGGGGACTTTTCAGTAAAAGTTACAGCCCTGTTTTGAGCTATTGCTCCAATCAGGTTATGTTAGCATTTTGTAGGCATTAAATTGCTTAATACCTGTAAATAGTACAGGCACATCTTTGTTTTGCAGCAGCTCTAGATTAGATTCTGGTAAAACAAACAGAGCTGTCATGTGTATAGATAAAGGCATTAACTGTAGGCTGGTGTAGCAATGAATTGGAAATGGAAGGAGAGGTTGTATTTACTGAATCTTTTCTGACACTTGGGTAGTCATGTTTGCTGCTGTTGTAAGTGATCTGAGCTTTTATTTAACAAACATAAGAGCCAAACTGAGTCAGATTGAAGTTCTGTGCCTGATGTCAGCAACAGCCATGAGTAGGAGGCCAGAAAATGCTTTGATACTCTTCCAGTCTTTCATATTTCTCAGTTCTGAGCCAACTACAGCTGCAGTAACACTCAGTGGACTACTTCTTTAAGAACTTAGAGTGTCTCATTTGGAGCCCACCTGAGCTTTTTGGCAGTCTGTTCATTAGCGGTTCCACAGGATTAGCACTTTTGTGTGAAGAATGACATCCTCTGGTTTGCATTTGCCTCCTAATTCATGTGTTGGAAGAGGTATGAATAGGTGCCTATCGACTGTCTTCACATTACTAATTTTACAGACATCTGTCAGTCGTGCCTGCTGCCCCATCTCCTGTACTCTGACAGCTGCTGGTCTCCCCATGCAGCAGAGATTATGTACCTTTGCTCATCCTTGTTCCCACAATCTTTTCCAGCTCTACTATGTCCCTTTTTAAGCTGAGCAGCTCAGCACTGAACAGTGGCAGTCAAGATGCAAGCAAACTCAATTTTTACTTTCCCTTACCTGATACTCCATAACATTTTACATGCCTTTTGACTACTGCTGTTTTCATAACCCCAACATCTTTCTCCTGATGACGTTAAAGCATGTACTCTTTTTATGTGAAGGCAGGATTATTTTCCCTACTTGGCTACTTTGAATGGCAGATGCATTCAATAATATTACTGCTTAAAATAATTTAGCATTTCTTTCCTCTGCTTTTTTCTTAGCCCTTTACACAGCAGGACTTTTGCCATCATCAAACTTTGTCACCTCATCACTCGATCTCTTTTCTATTTTTGTATTTTTTCGTGTGTTGGATGGGCACAGGTCTCAATCTCTCTCCCTGCACAACTGTCCCAGGTGACCTCTCTCCACTGGAGAAGCTAATTTAATGTACTCTTCCTGTTTATTCAAACCTGCTGTCTAATTTCTTTTAAATCTATCATTTATTGAGAACTTCCATGTCTTATCAATGAGATCCTTGTTACACACATGCTTCTTGTTCTTGTGGAAGGGGACCACTAGGTTTGAGCTCAGTGAGAGATTTAACCCTCTTTTGGCTCGCACAGTGATAGTGGCTTAACCTCACTGATTCTACAGCTACTTTTCAAGTACAACAGAGGCAGTTTTAAAAGGCTTCAGACTGTTTAGAGATTCAAATTAACAGTTTAATCTCTCTGTTTCAGATTGGAAGTACAGTTCTGGCTTCATCACTGCAGAGATGATTCAAAGCCACCTCCCTCCCCCTGGCAGCGAGACACTCATTCTCCTGTGTGGGCCACCACCCATGATTCAGTTTGCCTGTCAGCCCAACCTGGACAAACTTGGCTATCCCAAGAGCAGTACATTTTCTTATTAACACTGATGTCATCTGATACTTTTTCCTAAGTACTGTGTGTTTTCCTACAGGAACAACTGGTATGTAACTGCAGTATTTTTTGTGTGTGTGCTTCTTAACAACTTAAAAGAATTCCTGTGGTTTATAACTTCACAATTACCTTTGCATATTTTAAGAAACAAAACAATTGAGAAACAAAACAATTAAGAGTAATTGGAGAGGTAGGACAGAGGTAAAACCACTTGTTTGTTGACATGGGTGTGGAATTTGGGAGAGGGCTGTGAAGCAGGACTGGCATTGTTTGAATGTGCTCTGCAGGTAATTAATTTAGGAAATCCTGGGGAGGACAGTACAAAGAACAGTCTATTTTCCTCCCCTTTGTTTTTTTCATGCTGCTTCACACCCTTTCCTAACAAACTGAAATACCAGAGACTATGTTATTGAAGAATGAACAGAGTTTGGGCAACATGCAAATTGCCTATTATTGTAACAAATTATCAGTAGTGTGAAATTTATTTAGGAAGATGAAATAACTTCATGCTGTCTTCTAACAGCCTTAGCTAAATCACTGTCAAATGGATAGAGAAGTTCTGGGCTGCATATACAGACATGACTACTGTTGTGATTCCATTTGAATGTCATTCCCTACATGCACTGCTTGCTCTTTTGGCAGCTTCAGAAATCTCCTCTGCTTACGAGAAAACACTGTTTCTTACTTTCTATCGTAAGCTATACTGAGGTGATCTTATATTTGGGTACTCATCTTAGTGTTGTTTACCACATACACAGCATTTAATTCTTAGCCTTCAGCACCTGAAGTACCGTACTGCATGTTCGTCTCCAGGAATTAGTTTATCCTGCAGTTGTTTCAGGGTCTGGTGGATTCCTGACTTGTGATGTCACATCCCAGACTTGTGATGCCAGGGGCTAATGAATATGTTTACTGAATATTTTTACTCATATAAAACAAAACAAAAAGGAATCTACTAGCTAAAGGTTTTTGTACTTTATCAGTTACATTTGCAGCAGCGATGAAAAGACAGACACAGGGTTTCATACTATTGATTCTGTCCCAGGTGAGAGATCAACATGTATGTTTCTGTTAGAGTCATGCCACAGTCAGCAAGAGATGGAGGAACACTCAGCATTTATTCACAACAGTCAAAAAATATAAGCATTTATGCCAGTGTTACGCTAGTTAGGATTTCTTACTTAGATACATGTTTTAAAAATACCAATAACTTTATAGATTGACTATTCACAGCCAAGTTAGCAGACCACCACACTGAGTTATAAATATATCATCAAAAGAAGACTGAAAATCTGCTTGGAACATCCCAGTGATATTAGGGCTGCCTCTGTTAGAGCAGCTTACCTTATCTGTAGTGCTGTAACAAGTCTGGTGACTAAATAACCCAACAAAGTATTCCAGATGCCCATAGCACATGGTTACTAGTGATGACTGCATTGCCAGATGGGAGTTGTACTGGCCTGGTATATTCAGTACCTTTTGTTAAGTATTTTTAGTTAGCTGATGTGTAGACTGATTTCTTGTTCCTTTGAATTTTCCATTAGAATTTCATTGTTCAAGTGATTGAAAAATAATTTGCTTTGGTTTTACTATTTTGGACAATAAAATCGTGTTTAGCTTCTAAAATCTGACTGTACAGTGCAGGGTCTCTCATAAGAGGCTCAGGGAGTGAGGAGCAGAATAGGTCACCTTTAACAAGTGCCACTGACAGCTCATGAAGAGCTGTTGCTGCATACCTGGAAGAGTACCAGAGATTTCCCCCTTTGTAACATGTAAACCAACACCCTGCAGGGGGAAGAGTAATGCACACCAACCATATGCTTGCTAGGTCTTTACAATTGAGGCAATTTCCTTTCTGGTATTTCCCTGTTAACTAAGATAACAAGTTAATTCCTTATTAATACATGAGAGGCACATGTCAACTGATGCCACAAGTAACTGCTGCTGTAAAGGAGATGCCTTCACCTGCGAACTGCCCCTCAAGTGAGTAATGAGAGGCTGTGTTTTCCTCTTTTACAGTGCTGCAGTCCTGCCTAGCTCAGTAGAATAGCAGCAACTCTCTTTTGTCAGCTGTTTTAAAGAAACAAATATTTATTTTATTAAGGTGCTTGCCTGATGCTCCTTAGTGGCATTGTACACTTCACAAAGCAGTAACTTTTGTCTCCTATTGCTAACAAAGTATTCTATGAAAATCTAGATGTAGCTGGAATGAAAAGAGTGCTGTTTACTTTCAGTTCTATCCTTTACAGCATCATCAGTTGTCATGCAAACATTACAGAAGTGTTTCTACTGTAATCTGCAGTCCTCAGAACTGTTTTCAGCCATACATTTAATTAAGAAATAGGTTTATTACCTTTCCTGTCTTCCTGAGAGCCAGTACTGGGTTTCAACCAGGAATGGGGCTCAGAAAATGTGGTCTGAACCATTTTGACTGTTCAGAAGGCTTATGAACATCCTGATGCTTGCACATGTACATCAGTAGTACTAGCCATTTTGGACAATGTATAGACAGAGCCCATTCAGTTGTTCCAATTAAAGAACTGTCATGTAAAACCAGGCAGTGGATCATGCTGGAAATTCTGTTGCACTCACCCTACAGAGTGCAGCAAACACCCTTCTTAAAGTTACATTTTACATTAATTAGATGTTGTGATTTCTCCTTGATAGTGACCATCTCAGTGCACATATAAAAATCATCACGTCAAATAAAGCACCAGCTTTTGATACATCAGTTTCTCTGGCTGCCTCAAAGTTACATATCCTGATGGAGTTGTTCAGCATCCTTTTGAGTTAGGTCAAGATTTATGAATGTGCTGTCTTGTCATCATCCTGATAAAAACAAGGCCTTGATGGATACCATTATGTTCTAGTCTTCCCTTTCTACACTGCACTTAGATAAAAAGAGGGCAGGACATGTGCTAATGAAAGGGGTGAGAGATTAAAATCCTTTCATGGGAAACAGGCTGGTAGTAGTAGTTGGTGAGGCAGTACTCACCAGCATCCATCTGAATGTCTAGGTAGCTCTGATTAGTCCACACGGTACAACAGAGTATTAATCATTCCTGCATTACTAATTAATTGTAAAAAAAAAAGACAAAAGATCTTCCATATACAGTATGTAAACATACCATGTAAAAGATGACTGAATAAAAGGGTGGTGCCAGCCTCAGCTTTCCAGAGTCTGCTGTGAGTATTCTCTCTCAATGCTTATTTCACATTATACAGTAAAGAAAATCACGTGGAGGAAGGTTACCTGTAGAGGAAGGTTACCTGTATCCCGTTGCTACATTGACAGTATTAAATGATCTGTGGTAAGAGTAATTGGCAGAAAAGAGGTAAAGCTTTTCTGTAGACAGCATCAGGCTGCTCCTGGCCACCCCTCTGGACAGGCATGAGGTATCAGTAGTGTTCTTGGTCACATCAAAACATCATCTCCAGTCTTCAAAGGTAGGTGCTAAAATTCTGCTGTCATTCAGCATTTCATCTTGGCTTAACATTGTCTGAAAAAACAAGGTATGAATGGATAAGCATGTTCATTTAGAGGACTATGGTTAAACAAATCCAACTGCACTGGGATCAGATTCACAACAAATGGGGTTAGAGACACATCATATTAAAAGGAATTTCTTAAATGTAGCTTTAAATAAGCTATTGTTTGCCTTAGGGGACTCTCTCAAAGATCTTGTGTTGCATGTTACTCTGCTATGTTATGTAATTCTTCATTAAACCTTTCAGTCCACCTTTTAATTAGCTGCTAATTAATTAAGTCAGGAATTAGTGGTAGTTGGGGTTTTGTTTGTTTTTCATTGAGTTTTAGCTCATGTAAATTCCCTAGTCTGTATCTCTTTGTGACTGAGGCATTCAATGGCAGTTACTTAAAAAAACCCTTTGAAGAATTGTTTTCATTTAAGGGGATGTATATCTGTCATTGAGCTAAGAGATAGAGGAGTTCATGAAAACTTAAAATAGGCTTAAAGGAAACTTGATTTCTAGTGGAATTTATAAGCAGTGTGGTTTTGGACTGTGAATGTGCAACCAGGCTGTAAGAGGTTAACTTACTCTTAACTACCACCAGCAATGACCAACTTGCACTGAATTCCAACAGAATACATTTGTTACTTTAAAACAAGAATGGATTAGTACGTACCGTAAGATTGCTTATGCCTTGAGAAAGAGCCCCTATTTGCATTACCGTTCCTTCTGAATGTTCCATCTGTAAAAGTATTCAGGAATGAGTTCAAATCAGTATGTGCAATTTTATTCACTCTGTGTATCATCTTTGGGAGGTATCCGTGCCTGGACAAGTGAAGTTGTGGGAAGTTTAGAAGTTCTGATGTCTGCACAGTCATTAAAAAGTCTCCATGCTAAAAGGTATGTGAGACACATTTAACTGTAGGAAGAGTGAATCCTTGTCAAGAAAGACTGATTTTATGAAACTTGAGCTGTAATTTGCAGAGGGAAAGAAAAACCTTAACTGATACTGTCAATAGAGAATAATGTTTTCCTGATGGTGTAACACTTCTTCTGGCAGTTGTCTTCGACAGGCAAGAAGCAGAGTCCTTCATGATACAGTCCCACCTACTCTTAGATAAAAGGTTATCACTTCTAGGCAACTGAGATTTCCCTGCATGACTGCATGCTCAGAAGTCCCACTTAATTGAAAGACCATGCTCCTAGAGGAAAATCCAGGATTTTGGTACTGCCTGAACAACTGCTTAGCGTAAGCTCTTGGCTCTTAAGTTACTGCAGTCACTTGCAAACTCTTCACTGTGCAAGTGCAAATCCACACTCAATTACAGTCAGGATTTGGTACTGGCCCTCCTGAGCAACAGTACTTCATTTTACTAAGGTAAAACTTTCAGTTAACATTGAAAAAGATACTGGTTAGGTGAAGAACACAAATGATGAGATGTTTGTTAGATGCAGGAAACCATGCAGATGAAAAATTACCTTCACAGTTAGTCTTTTCAGTTTTGTGACCATTCTCTTATCAGTCTTAAAATGTTTTTATCTCATGTCAGGCGCCACTGGAGATAGGGCAGTTCACCCCAGCTGCCCCTGTCTGGCTCTTGTGTGTTGATGAAGTTCACACAAGGCTCCATGAGCTCCATTTTTCAGGGTTTACGTCCCTTTACACAACAGCAAAGTTGAATAAAATTTGATGGGTTTTAGTCTTCCTCATTAGTCTGTGTGATGTCTGGAGAGTTTCATGCACAAGTTCACTACTACGTAAGAAAAGTGAATTATTGAAGCACTGGTTTATTAATAGTCTTGTTCTATGCATTGTTTTCACATACACCCTTCTAAGCAAAACTACTCCCCGCTGTACATAATGAAAGAAAAATTCACTTGGATTCTTTGATTAATGTCCATTAAAAATATACAGTCCAGTTGTTGTTTAATATATAACTTGATAGTTTTGTACAAATCAGTCCAAATAACTTTATTACATTTAAAAACCACCCATAAAGATCAGGAAAAAACTAGTGTGCCATAGTGAGATTATGAAAGCTAGAAGTACAAGTCGTGTGTTTCCTGCCCACCACCACCTTAATTGTCAAAGTACATTGATTGTCGTAGTGTAAAGGTGTCATATACCTGAAAAAGGGCTTGAAGATAGATGAATTTATACGATATTGATTAAAAAAATGACATTCTTAGGATCGAACTCTTTTTAGTGTCCACCGCCAGTACTTTCTCAGTAAAAGTTCATGCGGATCGGATGCAGCAAATACTTTGTTACATGCTAACATTTGGTTATTTGCAAGCTTTGGAATGCATGGAGAGGATGAGATGAGATGAGATGAGAATGGCATCAGTCTGTCTGTCCCACCTGATCCAGCTCCCTGTCAGTGACGGGACTAAGGCCTTTGTATCCACCATAGTTTTTCTGAGAACCATTTGTAGCACCTGGGTTTGTATCCATAGGACAAATGTAGTCTGTTGATTCATCAAATTTCTTTTTCCTTAAATTTCCAAAATGTGAAAATCCAAGTTTCTTTGGCTAAAACAAGAAGACAACACAGTAAGTTTTGAAGAAGAAAAATAAGGCTGCCCTTTAAACATTCAACACCTTTTTTTTTTTCTCTTCTATCTACTGCTATACCACCATAGTCCTTCAAGTACGTAGATTCTGAATTAAATCAGTTTGTTTTCAAAGCCAGAGTTATAGTTGATGTTAAGTACATTTAGGTAGTGTTCCTTCTAAGAAAAGGTGGAAGGTAAAAAGAGACCAACGGGACTGCATGTTTATTTCAGGAGCTGATTTAAACAGGTAGATATAAATTAAATGCTGCAGTATCTAGAATTAAGGAAAACATAACACTGCTCCTAGAGCTGACCTCTCCCTGGCCCACGTTTGTTCCTTATTTTCTCTACAAGACAGGAGAGAGGAAGTCTGAAATTTCCAAGTACCTCCCTTTTGAAAGCAGGACATACCCGGACTTTGGCGGTGGTGGTCAGAGGTGTGTACGCTGTGGACTCTGTTATTTCTCTCTTTTCTTGTTGAGCCTCTGGTCCAATTAACAAGTTGAAATTGGTCGTCAGGTGCCGCCGCAGCAGTGTCTTCTGAGGGGGAATATTGAGCAGCATCGCTAGCGTGTCACCATTGAAGCGAGGTTCCAGAAGCTGTTAAAATATTGGCAGAATAGGGATTTTTACATGTTTAAATATTTGCACTAAGAAGCCATTACAGTACTTGTCAGAGGAATTTGTCATTGCTAAGCTGTCTACATTAGGCCTTTTATAACTCAGTCCTGATAAGATACTCACTAGGCTTTGAATGGGAAATACATGAATGTGGACACTAAGAGCTGCAGAACTTGATAGTATTTATATTTATCATCAAACCTTATCTTTGATTGGACTGCATGAGTTTGTTTTCAGAATTTTCTGCCCTACTCAGAGTATAAACTGACAAAATAGCACATATTTTTCTATTTCAGTTTTGCAGAATTTCCACAGCACTAGAATCAGGGTATTTCAGAAGTGTGACTTTATTAAGCTGCAAACAGTCCTGAATATTTGGAATTAAAGCCCATCATTCCTGACTGCCAGCAAGACTGCTGTGAGTTCAGGACATCATTTACTGTGGCACAGAGTTCTAGTAAAACCACTCCAAGAAACACTTGATGATGCTTTATTAAATAAGTAACATTCCCACGGTACACTTTGGGTTTTGGTTGGTTTGCTTTTTAATGTACTGCTCTTAGACACTCATGCATAGCTCAGTTTTCGTTATAAAACTTGTTTTAGCAGTTCCTTTTTATTTTAGCTTTCCTTGTTAAATTAAGACACAAATAGGCACTTTACAAGGCCTGACCATGCTGTCGTATCACAGATAAAGCTGTTTCCTCTGGCTGGACAAACACCAGGTAAAACATGTTTTATGTTACTGTGTCAGTTTTCAGTGGATGTGTAGTAAAATGTTAAAATAAATGTGAAGAAGTCTTACAATCAGGGCACCATGCACTCCACTTCCTCGAAGGTTCGGTGCATATTCTGCCAGGTCGACTGATCTGAGCCATTCCATCACTCTGTGGTTGGACCACTGAATAACTTCTGATGGTGAACCGTTACTCTGCTGAAGTAACCAGAGGTCATGATGACACTGTAGCCTGTATTGTCACTGCACATTCACAAGATGTGCCCTCAGTTCAGATAAAACCATTGCTCCTCCTCTCCCTCAAAGAAAGAGCAGTGTTTTCTCCCTAGATTCTAAGGTATTGTTCTGGATCAAGCTGAAGCCCCATACATTGCATCAAGTAATGTAACAGTAGAGACCACAGACACCAGGTATAAAAAAGGGAGCATTTTGAGAACAAATTATTGTCAGGCTTTAATACTAAATGAACAAGTTATGCTGACTTATTGTCAGGTTTTAATACAAAATGAATAAGGCTGACCAGGTAAGGCAAAAACCTTACAGTCTTTGAGAGTTAAAAATTAGGAGAGGCAAAGAAAAAACATTCCAAATTACTATCTATCTCAGAAGTTGAATAAACTTCTAAATAAATGATTTATCAAGGGAAGTGCATGAGATCAGCTAGTAAGTGGCTCAAGCACTTCAGGACTGACTAGATTTTATTAATGCCTCACCCCTTCTGGTGTTCAAGGCCAGGTTGGACAGAGCCTTGCATGACATGGTTTAGTGTGAGGTGTCCTTGCCCATGGCAGGGGGGTTAGAAGTAGATGATCTTAAGATCCTTTCCAACCCTAACTGTTCTATGATTCGAAGATTCTATTACTGGTGAGTACATGTTACATTCTGGAGCTGGAAAGCAGGCAGCATAACTACTGCTTTAGATGCAATTTCCTATAAGCAGTGATTCTACTGTATCCTTGCACACTGCTGACAGTCTGTCACCTTTGGCTGCAATCAGGTAATTAGTATGTGTTTAAGTTAATTTATTTAAACATACTCTTACCTCTTCAACTGGTCTCCTGCGTAGACAGTGGGGGTTAAAACCATTGATGTGCAGCACATGAATGGCACATTTAATACTCAGGTGATGCAGCTGACTGGTGACTTTCAGAAAGAGAAGGTCGTTCTGTGAAGGAGAGAGCCTTTTAAGTGGCACAGAATACATACCAGAACAGGTACTTTCCCCAGGAAGAAAGATGTTAAGCTTGCTATGTAGTTTTACGTAGAGACAAGGCTGTACTTCTGAAAACAGCTATATTAGGCATTTTTTTTTCATAGCACAGTTAACAAAACCAATTATCCAGCTGTAAGAAAACACAGTGGCTATGTGTGGTGCTGCTCATGTGATTGCAGCTGTACCATTTAGTGGATTTGTTGCTTATCATTAGCTTATTTAATATTGCTAACTAACTTGGTGAGGAGAACAATGAATTCCTGAAGCTGCATGTAAAATAAGTCATTTTTACCTGTAATCATGGTGTGATACATGGCACTGAAAGAAAGACTGTGGAAGTTAGCTCTAGCATATCCTGTGACTTATTTTGTGTACTTAAGGATAGTAATTATGCATCAGACAACACAAACGAGCTACTACGAGCACTATTTCCATCTTGCAAAAAAATTCTTTAACTGCTCACATTCAAAGGAAAATCGTAAAGTTCTTAGCTTACTCTGAAGTTAAATTTGGTTAAACTGAGGGAAAAAAGGAGTTTTAGCTTACCACAGTTAAGTACTGCAACATTCTCCCATCCACTCTGGCTTCATGAAACTGGTCTTTGTACTGAGGTAAACCAATGTCATCGAGCCATCCTGCAGGCAGAGGAACAACAGTGTACCCAAATCCAGATACGTGAGAATGAAGCCCTTCTCCCCTTCTTGTCTCGACTGGCTTCCTCTGATGCATTCAGTTAGCTCCTTCTACCTGTTCCCCCTTCCAAAGATCAGCCTCTTCCCCAGAAGCCTGAAAGCATTCCCACCAAACAGTTCCATCCACAGTACCCCACGATAGTCTACATACAGTGTGTGAGAGATTGCAGGGAAGTAAATGTGGGGGCTCAATCTAGTGACAGACTTCCCCTTGGAAGATCGTACTGTAGGGCTGTATACTTGGATGTCAAGAACAACACAAAATCGTCATTCTACCATGTTAAAACTTCGTGCCCTTAAAAAGATGCCTGGTAACTACTTAAACACATACTGGGCAGCCCTTCAGTAGGTGTGAGGGAAATTGCTTTCCAAACCAGTCCAGTTCGAACACTTACGTGTCACCCAGATATGATCAAGCTGTGCAGACTTCTCATCTTGTTTTGCATTTATTGATTTAATGGCCAAAACTAATTTCTTCCTGTGCAGTGGATGCTTTATTCCCATTTCCTGCAACAATAACCATTAACAAATATTTTGCCTTGTCTCTTGCTCTTTTCATCTCATTAGGTGTCTACAACCACTGATACTACATATCAATACGGTAAAGCTGCCAATTGTTTGAAGAAGCCTGGTTGTACAGAATCAATATGTATGGCTGCTAGAGGGAAACAGTTATAGAATATTACCTTTTCCATGTCCTGAGGTGTCGCAGTCAACAGCATATGGCCTGAAGTCACCCACTGCCGTGCAAATATGACGTACTGACCAAGACCAAAGTCCTCAAGCCAGTTACAAACTCTTTCAGTGCTCCACTGAGCAAATGGCGCATTGTAGTCACTGAAAAGCACAAGAAATGTGTGGAACATCTTGAAGAACAGGGTGATGGTTATTGTCAGGCAGCATATCGTGTGCCAGGGGCAGCACTGCAGCACAGGTTTGTTACCGTGCTTTGGCTTGTACAGTACTGAAAGCCAACAGCCACTCTCACAGCACAGGCTGTGGTACTAGTGTCCTGTTAATCTGCCTGCCCAGCCTCAGCCTGTGAATGATAGGGGGGTGAGCAGTAATTTTCTATTTGAAAAGAAAGGGAATTGCTGAATCCTGAGCACTTCACAGATATTCCCATGCAAGATGATGATAAATTAGTTTTCTTGTTCTTTAACAAGATGTGGGTTTTGACACTCTAACAGCATCTAGCGCTGCAACCTTCAGCTGAAGGAGCACAGATGGGGAGCGACTCAGGATGCATTTTCTACCAAAGAAATTCTTTTCAGTTCTGTAATGAAGCACATTGGGAAAAACGTATTTCACAAGGGCAGGGTCTGGCTGTTGAGCACATTTAAGAATACCATGTGAGAGGCAAAGAGGAACCATACCTTTTCTGGCCTTTGGTTTCCTTTGATCTGGACAACCGAGGCCCAGCTGTTGCACGGAGGCCACCTCTTCGAAACTCTGCCAACCCCAGGTCGTCTGCAGGGAAGTTACCTGACTGAGTTCTTCGTATTCTTTCAAGACAAGAGTGCCACAACAGTAGTATTAGCTTGCAACAGAGAACATTTGGTTGTATGGAAACTATAGTGACAACTAGACGTTGTATTAATCTCCCCGTAAACCACAACCACCCAGTTCACATGGCAGATGCAGAAATTCAGGCAAACCCTGTCTAGACCTAACTCTGAGGAAATAAAAGAGCTCTGCAGAGCAGCCATCTGATTTTTAAATCCAGTTACTGATCCACCCTGCACGCCAGACCTGTAAATAACTGTCTGCTGTCCTGAAGCAGGAAAATCGAACACAGTAACCCTCAGTCTCCCTGCTATTTGTTTCTTCTGTTCTCTCATTTTTTGCTCAATGCTTTCTGTAATGAACAACTTAATATAATTTTTCATAGCTAATGAAACTGGTGGCATATTAAATTATTAGCATTCAGATGACAGCTCATTTCTTCCAACAGCACAATTTTGAACACTACCACCCACGTGTACACAGAGACACACTGGTACAATCACAGAGCTGCCTTCTCTCCTCTTCCTAAATCTTACTTTATTGTTTATTTATTCTGTAGATCGTGCAGCTCTTGCCGAGAACTGTATTCATTCTCAGCCAAAAGCACAGAATCCTAGAATCATAGAATAGTTAGGATTGGAAAGGACCTTAAGATCATCAAGTTCCAACCCCCCTGCCATGGACAGGGACACCTCACACTAAACCATATCACCCAAGGCCTCGTCCAACCTGGCCTTGAACGCTGCCAGGGATGGAGCCTTCACAACCTCCCTGGGCAACCTATACCAGTGCCTCACCACCCTCACAGTAAGGAACTTCTTCCTTCTATCCAATCTAAACTTCCCCTGTTTAAGTTTGAACCCATTACCCCTTGTCCTATCACTACAGTCCCTAATGAAGAGTCCCTCCCCAGCATCCCTATAGGCCCCCTTCAGATACTGGAAGGCTGCTATGAGGTCTCCACGCAGCCTTCTCTTCCCCAGGCTGAACAGCCCCAACTTTCTCAGCCTGTCTTCATACAGGAGGTGCTCCAGTCCCCTGATCATTCTCGTGGCCCTCCTCTGGACTTGTTCCAACAGTTCCATGTCCTTTTTATGTTGAGGACACCAGAACTACACACAATACTCCAGGTGAGGTCTCATGAGAGCAGAGTAGAGGGACAGGATCACCTCCTTTGACCTGCTGGTCACACTCCTTTTGATGCAGCCCAGGATACAGTTGGCTTTCTGGGCTGCGAGCGCACACTGAAGCCAGCTCATGTTCATTTTCTCATCGACCAACACCCCCAAGTCCTTCTCTGCAGGGTTGCTCTGAATCTCTTCTCTGCCCAGCCTGTAGCTGTGCCTGGGATTGCTCCGACCCAGGTGTAGGACCTTGCACTTGGCTTGGTTAAACTTCATGAGGTTGGCATCAGCCCACCTCACAAGCATGTCAAGGTCCCTCTGGATGGCATTCCTTCCCTCCAGCGTATCAACTGAACCACACAGCTAGGTGTTATCGGCAAACTTGCTGAGGGCGCACTCAATCCCACTGTCCATGTCAGCGAGAAAGATGTTAAACAAGACCGGTCCCAACACCGATCCCTGAGGGACACCACTCAAATGCTTTGACATGGAACTGAAAGAAAAAATGACCTTACTTTCCCCAGATTTTCTTGATCCCTTTCGGACTCTTTCTGTTTTCTGGAGACAATGGAGACTGTGGGCCTGAATCCGTTCCCGAAGAAACAGGTGAAAGGTCATCTGAGGCTACTGTACCATCCACGTTCTCTGTGTCTCCTGGGTTAAGAACAGCAATATAGTCACATTTTATACAGATTGTTAACAAAGTTGTTATCTGGCAAACTAATGTTTAAATGCAGAACACAAAAAAGGAAAGACTTCTAGAAAACTTCATGTATAAAAACCCCATGCTCAGAAGGTGAAAAAACATAGCTGTACATTTGATACAAACAGAAAGTAATAAAGATTTTGTGTACACCAGTATTGTTAGTTCAGGTGTTTGTACTTAATTCCATCATTTTTATTAATTTAAGGTCTTCAGACCTAAGCAGGCTCTTCAGACTCTTGCCTTGCCTATTCTTAACACCATAACTCCTCCATCAAAGTTGGAATTTTTCTGTCAACTTCAGTGAGAACAGAATGAAAGCAGGAATAAGTATCTTAAAAACAAATCCCATCCAACTGCAATGCAGCAAAAGCTGTTACTTCCATTCAGCATTGCACTTCAGGAATTCAGTCTGGGTGGCCCACGCAGTGTTACTATTTCATGGAGAAAGGGAAGAGGAAAGGAAAGGAAAAAAGCAAACAGCAAAATTCATGTTAAAGTTGCATCTTGTTTGGATACGGTACCTAGCACTGGTGCACTGACACTCCTGATGCGATCTTCAGTCATCCCAAGAAGCAGAAAGCCAGATGAAGAAGCAAAGAAGATATAAAACACCAGCAAAATAAAGTTACAGAAGAGCAAAGAAGTCAGCTAAGCATTAAAAGCAGAAACAAAAAGAAAAGAAGCAGTTATGCTGCTTGATATGGAAGTGAATATGCATCAGTGTGCACAAGCACCAGTCATTCTGTACAATCACCTAAAATAGATAGGGATGATCGTTTATCTGTTGTTTGTGGGGTTTGGGTTTTTTATGAACTATTCTGAGACGATTTTAACACATTAAGCATGACCTACAGAGCTCCACAAAACCTGCAGAATGTCTGAAATGAAGCAATGTCTAAGGTTACACCAAATTCCTCTGAAATATAGAATTAGAGGTTTAAAGGTTTGCTTCACATACAAGAAACAAACCAACCTGCATAAAAAAATCTGTTAATTCACTGTGTTTAAGGAGTCATTGCTTGTTTCTAGGAAAAGAATATTTCCTTTACAAGATCATCCATCCCTAGATAATACTGCAGTTAAAGTAGCATGGCTCCTGCATTGCCTACAATGTTGCAATCACAGAAAAAAACCCCTCTCAAACAAACCCTAAACAGCCCACAGCCTATTGCAATCTTGAACCTACAGGCCCTGGCAGCTTTTAGGACCATGGGGCCTTAAATAAAAGCCACCAAACAAAAAGCTGCCAGCATAATTTTTAAAGTGCAGACAAACTTCAAAATCACAAGTGATGCTCTTGTGCTCTTCAGCCCTTGGCAAATAAATACCTGGCTCTGTGCCTTGCAGTAATATTTTCTGTACTGCAATATATCCATGATCAAGATGTCAATGAAAACAAATTAACACAGGCTTCCACACAGCTGGGGTTGTGAACTAACAATATACTTGCATTTTGAAAATCTGCCCATGATTTCCTGTACCTCGTAAGTCAGTTTTTCACTTGAGGGTCCCCAAGTTCCAGCAACTAACAGCGCAGACACTGGGATTTTTGCCTCAAATGTGCATGTTAGTGCTAGATACACTGTGAAGTTTCACCCACTGAAAGGCAGCAGAATGGCAGGGCACAGGCTGGTTTGTTTCACTTAATTCACCTCCAAGTAAGCTGATGTGGTATATATTAAGTACAAAAAAGAAGTAGAACCTTCCTTCAGTACATCACCTGAAGGTCACAGTCTATTGTTCTGGTATAGCAGATTATACACCATATTATGTTCTAGCTTCTCAATCAGTTTGCTTTTCCCCCTCCCAGCGAGGTGTAGATACATACTCAGGCCCAGGAAGCTGCTGTCCTCAGAGTCGTTCACACCAGACCCATCTGATGAGTTACATGTTCCCTGCTCCCCGTTCTGCAGGGGTCGAGGCAGCTTCCCTGGCAAGGTTTGGTACTTGCTGCTTTTCGCAAGCGGCTTACTCTGTTGTTTTTTAAAGAGGGAAAAATAAGTAAGTACAAAACCAAATCACAGCATTTGCAATCCAGTACACAAGTTGAGGAAAAAGTACTTGAACCCCAAATGGCATCACCCCCTCCATGTTCCTGCTTACAGATCACTCATGTTGAACCTCAGTTAGTTGACAGTTTTCTTGTTAAGACACTGCCTTCTCTTCCCCCATCTGCCTCTCTCCCCCTCTTCAGCCAGACTATTACGTATAATATACAATATATGTTGAATGTTACCTGGTTTCATCATAAGGACCCAGCACTATATAATACCTTGGTCCTTCCACTTTGATAGTGCCAGAAACGCATTTAGTCACTTCTCAGATCATTCTTTGTCCTATCAATTATTACCCCTCTTTTCACCAAACTGGCTATGTTTCTGCCTCACAATTGTATCTTGCTGGAATTTAAGCCCAAAAAAAGTATTTGTGCAACTCAAATTTTGTCAAACACTTTTGCCCACTACCAGTAACAACAGCAAAAGAATCAACAATGAAGTTGAGGTACAGAAATTTAACTCTTGTAAGAACCAAGATCTCTTTGTATAGATAAAAAATAATTACAGCTATATTTGCCAAATATATAGCTAAATACATAATTTATTATAGAACCTAAGCACAAGGGATACTTTTGATATTTGATAAAAACATAGGCTGAGCTGTATTTTAGGGCTAGTCTGAATGGCTGCTCACTCACCCTTTTGTCCATGTCAGGCTAAAGTAAGTGTCTAACATGTGCTTGCCTTCATGTGTTGTAGGTACACAAACACAGAGCTACTAGCATCAGTGAGATTACTTTTGTTGGAAGGACCTTCCCCCAGCCACACAGCTCCCAGGAGATGGTGCTCAAAGCCTCAGCGTATCATATGTAAAGGGAACTGGTATGTAGGCTTTGCTAAAAAATGAGTATCTCAATTTTCCTTGCATTTAGTTTTTCAGTGATCAGCTATTTGGGATCTTGATCCTTGTACCAGGGTAGATGAGAACTTGCACATAAATCTGGGAGTTCTGAGCCTAACAAGATACTTAACGGCATTGAGAGACTTTTCCAATACTGAATCCAAATTAAAAGATACATCCCACAACTATCAAAGCAATAGGGATATAGAAGTTTTTCCAGAAAAGCACTGAACCTGCAGCTCCAGTCAACGTCAGTGGGAGTGGTGTACATTCAGTGTGTGTTTGGAGTAAGCTGATACTGGTAAATGGTTCAGTATCAGAAAGGAGGAAAACTCAAACCATACTTAGTATACAGAAACACAGACTATAATCCTACTTAGTAACCCCATTCTAACATAACTGTTTTAAACCGTTTAAAACATTGTCTGGGAAAGGATGATATTTAAACAGATAACCACTTGTTTATCTATTCTTACTTTCAGGCTTAGAGGGATCTTTGTGATGCTGTAACTGCAGGCCTCAGTTCTTCTGTTTTGGCAACTGCAGGAGTACATCCTGACTTGTAACAAAAACTATACGAGAACAGAAACTGCTTCTTACATTAGCCCAGTACTTTCTGAAATTGCCTGACTTCAGCTTCTAGCCTCACATAAAAGCTTTTAGATTAACAAAAAGAGTTCCCTCTCAAATTCTTACCCCTGTTCTCAGAGTCTGTCAGTACTGGAACTACGCAAACGTTTTAAGAAGTAAAATGAACATGAAATTAAAACACAGCATACCGTCACAGCACGCCACAACAGACAAATGTTAAGAGAGTTGACAGTTAATATACCTCTTGTTCTACAACAGGCTGTACTGGTTTTCCGTCTACATACTACGGAGTTGCAGGGAGGGTAATTTCAAAGTTTTATGGAAAAAAAGCAACAGACAAATGTTAGTATTAGCATACATACACAGAACACCAATTGTAGTCTTATTGCTATAGTGATGCTACTTAATGCATTGCCAACATATTACAAGGTCTGTTATCTCTTCATTTCATTTCAATAACATATTTGATATTAAATGTGGTTGTTCAAACCACTCTGCAAAATTTGGGCCTGGTTCTGTTGTGAGCAAAGGAATTTTTCTACATTTGAGGCTTCTGGGTGACTCCTCTAGACTTAACTTTCAGCTGGGAACATAACAGCTGTTTAACAGTTCAAACGATATGAAAACGACTGATGTTAGAAAGAACAAACACAATACTTTATGTATGGAAACCATAAAGAGCAGTGATAGAAAAGAGGGGATAAGAATATATAACATGGCTGGTCAGAGACACCAGTGTGCTGTATTTTACTTTATTTTACATTTTCATTGCTCAACATAACTGGAATTTGAGGTTTGTGCAAAACAGAACGGCTCCAGTAAGCAGCGCTGCTTGCACATGTTCTCTTGGATTTAATGCAAGAAGTAAGAAGTCTCGCTGAGTCAGCAAAACAAGTTTCTTCTTGTGGTTGTAACTAATTCACAATTAGCCACTCACTCCTAGGCACAGGGAGGTCTCAGTTATTTCACCAAGAAGCCTCATGCCTAAATTAGAATGTGGGCTGGCTTGCTACAATTCTCTCATATTCTTGGTAGTTTCTTGCTCCCTGAAGGACTGTGATTTAACTGACAGAGCAGCTTTACAGCCTAAATGCATAGGTATAGCCTTACCACATCATGTCACAGCGACAAATTAAATTTGTGAATTCTGACAGGAAAATAAAAGTTAGGAAGAGAAAACAGACCTTCATAAATTCCACATGGAATGAATGTTAGTTCTGAACTGATCTGTCACATGTATGACCACAATCAAATGGATGCAACACAAGTTTCAAACATTCCCTTTGGTTACTGTCATCATCACAGATTTAAGAAAAAATCAAGAATTTTAAGAACTGAAACAACCATAATTCTAATATCTGTTTTAAATGGCATTACTGGGTATGGGTAATACAGTATTAAGCCTAATTTGAGTACAGAAAGCGTCAATAACAGTCTCAAAGCATAATTACAAGTGCAGAGAAATTTCAGGTTTAGAGAATGACAAAACAAACCTCTGGACCATAATGTAATGAGACTTTGTAAATTGGAGAGTCATTATTTTGGAATGGAATTAAGCCCTTGAATTAATAACAGTGCCCCTCCTGTTTTAACCAAGGCAGCATCACTGCTCTCTTCAGAAATGCCATTTATATCAGAAATCTGAGTTAGGGAATGATACTCAATATTTACATGCAAACACTGAAAAAATCAATCCTATGTGGAAATACCCCATCCCGATCTTTAATTACTTTCAGCATGTGTTGCCTTAACATTTTTAACTATTTGGAAGTTGAAATAATTTTTAAAACTCTTACCTATAAACAAAATATTACTGCAAAAGACTCCTCATTAACATTATTTCCTGTATTTCTCTTAAGTATTTGTCTTCTCTTTCAGGTGAAAAGCTGAATTTGAGCATGTGTATGTATGGTGTGTCAATCTGAGGATGCGTATGTACGGTGCATCAACTCGTTTGTTTATTCTAAGCTTGGATACAGGGTAAAAAAACCCCAACCTGAACTGTTTGATCATGAGGGCTTTTTCCCCCACATACAGTGTCAGTGGTGGTTAGGGCTACTGTATGTGAAACAAAAATAATATTTATACTTGACCTTTACCTTTCAGTCATGACAACACCAGAAATTGTGACTGTAAATAAACCAACCTTTTCCAGGGATTCACTCTGCAAGTCTTCTAAACTACTTGACTTTTTTTTCTGTGGAACCCTTAAAATAATAACAGGCAAAAAAAAAGCAATAGTTGGTACAACACAGTATGTTTCCATATGCCCCTACTGTATCATATGACAGCCATATGTATCGTATGTCTGCATATAGCATAATGCTGAGCTAGGAGAGTCACCTGTTACATTTTTAGCCTAAAACACATGGTATTGGGAATGGCAATAAACAAAATCAGAAAGAGCATCAAGACATCCTTTGGTCAACAAAGAAAGGCAATAGGACACAATGTGCAATTTTAAACCCTTTATCTACAGGTGACTTTTTAAAAGCCCTTAGCAGCACAGACAGTAGTGACTCTGTCAACAGTGTGCAACATTGAAGGGTTTTAAAACTAGAAAAGGGCAGAAATATAGATATAAAAAAAAAAATCTGGCTGCATGTTATACATTTCAATTAAAGTTACTCATTCTTACCTGCTGATGATTTCCAGAGATTCTTCTTGTGGAGAGGTTAAATTAGTTGAAGATACTGGAATGCTTCCACTTCAAATCAGAATAAAACATACTGGTTTAAGTACTACAAGTGTCTTCGGATATATAAAAGTGCTAATTGATTCCTGCAATTCAGACCTTACACAATTAAGTGCTGCCAACTCCCACAGCAAACTCTGCTTTCACAACTACCCAAAAGTTCTTGCAAAGCCAAGAACAGGGAAGACAACATGCCAGTTAAACAGTTAAATGGATTAAATAATTCAAATTTAGGACAATCCACATAAAACACACAAAAAATAAAGATCTTGCCTGATTTCCATAGCTTTGTGTGGCGACGGAGACAGCACAGCTGGTGATAATTCTCCTGAAGATGGCTATGTAAAATAAAACATACATAAATTTACATTTATGTAAAATAAAGCCTGTAACTCTAGTGCTGGATTCTGGATCTATTGTGCCTATACAAAGAATACATACAAAAATTCAGCCAAGGCTAAACCCACATTACTACATTACTTTAGCTACCACAGAGAAACCAAAGCAAACAAATCATATATATATAGAATTTGCTTCTAACACATCTTTACTAAGTACCTCTGTTTTCAATAATTCTCCTTGAGGGTTAGTCAAAACAGTCCACTTCCTTAAAGTAGTCTCAAGTTCCTCTTCACTGCCACCAGAGACAGAAGAGCCTGCGACCATTAAAGATTAGAAGTAGAAAGGGAGAGAAACAGGCCAAAAAATAACATTTAGGACCATATCAGACAGTCTAACTATTTCAGTCTCACAATTCCCCTTCAGCCTTCCCCTGATGCATGTAGCTTTCCGGCCTCTCACTCCCCACCCCTGACTTACAAGCAAGCTGATTTATAACAGCAACAGATTTACCACTTCTAGTTACATGACAGACTCTGCTGTAAGCAGCTGAGCTGATTGTGAGGCAGCTTCTGAACCACTCTAATATACAGTTTGATGTTCTGAGGCAAGTTCAAGTTGGTACCATTTTCTTACTCGTAGTGTATTGCTTTATAGGTAGTGTGCACGTCTATATCGTAATACAATGTCCCATGCTCAGTTCAAGGATGTACACAGTAAACATGCCTCGGGTTTTTCTGGATATCCCAGATCTAAACAGACACCGAAATACTCCATTATTTAGTAGGACTTCAATTCCTAAATTGTCAAAGCTGCAATAATAAATCAGGTTCTGAATATTCAGGGCTCAGCAGTTTTGGAGTATTTTGGATAAGACTTTTTTTCTGGACCTCTCCAAGGATGTGGAAGGGCTGTTATGCCATCATGATGGAGGAATTTAGACTGACCTTTAAGCACATTAATAATTCCTACTTTATATAACAGAAGTGCAGCAGGTCTAGGCAGTTTCAAAACACACCACATCTTATGGTTAAGCCCTGGCACTATTAGCAGAGAGATCACTTGAAAACTCATTAGAGACCAGGTATCATGCTGTTCGGTTAACAAGACTGGCAACAAACCCCATACTGATTGCTGGCCCTCCAGGATACAGAGTGAAACTTATGCTGTGGTTGCTGGTACACAAAAGAGCGACCTACAGTCAAGTTCAGGGTAGCTCCTTTATATTTTGCTCAACTTTCCGTGGCTGTTTCAAGCAGTCACCCTACTTTAATCCCAGATAATTATTTGAAACAGTTATGAGAGACAGAAGATTTCAACCTTCTGATTCTACCAAAGATTTTAGGCAGAGATTACACATCAAAAGGAGCCTTTAAAACACACCTCTAGAAATAATAACAATAATAAAAAAATAATCAAGTGAGATATTTCTCAGTGCCCTAAATATGAGACTCCCTCAAGCACATGTCAGGTAACAAGCCCATTTGGGCTGTGATAATATTGTAGCCATGACAGCATGCACCTCAGTGTAGACAGTCTCTTACACATTCTACTACCTACACAGGTTTGGGGGTTTGGTTTTGTTTTATTCTGCTAAGCATTACTGGGTTTTTAGACATTAGACTGTACTGAACTAGCACACATTATACTAGCATACATCATATTCCCTGCAGTACCAACTCGATAATCCAGAGCATCATGACTTGCTCATTGCTCATGCACGCAAGTGTCTTCCAAAAACCATGTCCCATGATGTTACTGGGGCTTTCTGCTGAGAGCACCTACTCTCAGGGTACCAGTGGCGAGTTTTCTTGGGGGTTAACATCATGACGTCTCCAAAAGCTACAATCACACCTTTGGATTTCCCTTCAAAACACTTTCAAGTGAGAGACTTTCTTTTTAAAAAGAACATTCAGAGAGAGATTTACCTGACTCTCGTTCCCTGTTCTTGTGTGTTAAATACAAGTGTCCATTCTGCCGTACAAGACCTGAAAACATTGTGTTTGTTAATGTGATGATGTACGTTTAACAAAACTGTCCTTTCTGAAGGTCTCCCAGAATAATTTTAGTACTGAGAACTACATTGGCAACTTCAAACAAGATTATCCTAAAAACCTACTCCACTTCCTGCAGCATAACTGAGAAATGGGACACAGATTTTTCCCCAGATTTTGAATTTAAATATATAATACTGTGTGTACCAAAACAACCGTGGGTTTTCAGTTGCTTCCTGCACACCAGAACTTTTCTAGTCAGCTGTCAGAATTTTTCTTAGCAGAAGGAAAGCGCAAGAGAACTTATACTCATTGCAACTTCTTGGGTTTTTTTGCAAGCGGGGTGGAAGGTCCTCCTGTGCATCAAATTGCATCTCAGATTAGCATCTTTTTCATGAATGCCATATAAAAAAACATGACATAAAAGGAAAACTTTGTCATTAACACTAGCTGGCTCGTAGTTAATCATTACTGCCATTCCTGAACTGAACTATGACTAATCTGAATACAGGATGTATTCAATAGATTAATGTTTGTAATCTGCTAAATTCTCCTGATACCATTTTACACTGTAAAAAGCAGTTGCTCATGACAGATCACAGGAAACACCATACACATCTGTATACTTTATTCATCTCCTACAGATTAAATCATTTAAATAAAACTGAATATAATTTTAATTTTGAATAATAGAGAGGGCTATAATGCAATTTAATAAGAATACTGTAAATGCATGCTTTTAGCTGATTTAAATGAACTTTCCTAACTGCCCCTGTGTCAACAAATTCTATGCCTGCACTAGTGTCCTGCTGTTTTCTTCCTCATTTAACCCTTTTTGCTATAATTCCGTTTGGTCTGGGCCCTATAACCCATGTACAACCAAGAAGTAGCAACCTGAAGCAGCAAAAAAGGAAGTAGGAAGCTTTGAGCATGAAAGACTTATGTCATAGGCCTGCACTGTGGAAGAGACCTACAGGAGTCCCATCAGTGAGGAGCGGAAGGACTGCATGAAGTGGCTGATAAAACCATGGCCCCAGCTGTCCACCCACAGCCACCACCACATAGATGTAGGAGTTCTGCCACCAAAGCTCCTGCCCTACTGCAGTATATAGCAAAGCATTCTAAGAAGAGCAGTTGCTGACTTCAGATTGCCTTGGCACATGAGGAGCTGAACCACAGTCTTCAGACCCAACTGATGAGCAGTTCACACAGCTGTACAACAAGAGCAGTAAGCTCATCAGTCATCTTTCCTTATCAATCAGGATCCTTAATGACACTATTTTAAAAACCATATAGCACCAAAGTTTGGCTCCAAAGAGGGATTTACTATTAACTTAAATTTTAGATGATGACTTACAGAGTCGAGCATCAGATTCAGTCATAGAAGTCGTGTTTAATAGTAATGTTGTAACTAAATCTCCCATATATTGTAGACCCTATTTATTTTTTTTTGTACTGCCTACAGTATAGGAAACAAAAAGGAAATCTCCACACACTACAGGCAGTAACACACAAGCCTGGTCCAAGACATGCTGTGGTTCTTTCTTCATCTGAAAGACTGTATACTTACTTTCTTAGCACTCCAATGCAACACATATATAAATATTACTATACACATATATTGAAAACAACAGCAGTTGTAGTGCATGCAGTTTGAAAAATACCTGATATCAGGAAATTATTCACAAGACATTTTACCGTGAGCTGCAATCATTATCTCTTTGACCCTCCTGTACTGGCTTAGCAACAGTGTTAACTCTTCTATTCGACGGTCCTGTGAGAAGCATTAAATAAAATCATATTTTAAATCTGACATTTTTAACCTGCAGAAACACTGTATTACACATTGCATTCTGTGATTTTGGCCTGCTTTTCCAGAAAGCAGGATCAAGTCTCTCACGTACCCTGTAAATAACATTTATTAGCTTTTATTTGCCATTGTACATAGTATTTGCTGTACAATGTGAAATTATGGATATAGGGAAACCTGAGGAATTTGACATTACTAGTAAAGTAGTTATTTAGAGAAGCATAATTTGGAAATCTGCTTTCACTTCCAAGTCAAGGGAATATTCTGGAGTTGAATCTCAATGGCCTGAAGTTGGCAGTGTTTGGTTTTTTGCTAGCACTGTACCTGCAATTGCAAAGTAAATCATGTTTATGTTTTAGGTTAACAACCTAGTCACATTCTTTAGAATTCACTTGTAGGATATGTACTGCATTCTGACATCTACACTTATTCCTGTTTTGAACACACCTCTTTGAACTTAGGGAGCCAAAACCTGTCAGTTTTGACTTGGGCAGTCAAACTTGTATAGAACCAAAGAAATGAGGTCTCATGAATGTTTGCTTCATTTATCCAACTCCACTCTTTCTCCAATACCGAATGCTTTCCTATTATGTATATAGCATCCTGATTAATGTATTCAGGGAAGGTGCTTGCCTTTTGCAGATATAACACAGGAATGGGTAATAATCATTTAATTAGACCTGTAATTTCTCTCATTTCTATATACTACACTTTGTCCCCAGTGATAAGTTTTTGCTATCATCACTAAGTGTGCAATTTTGAAATTTGTACTCTTAGAATTTGCCCTGTTTCTTTGACCGCAGTTCTGACCCATTCCTGTGTGATAATCTTGCCCAGGGCTGTGGTAACAGAGCACAGATTGCAAACCCAAGCAAGTAATAAGGAACAAGTTTTCACAAGAAGGTTCAGGAAAGCTACAGAAGCAAAGAAGTGGGCACTAAGAAAAGAATAAAAACCTTGTGGGGAAGCTGGCACGTATTTAAGTGAACAGCTGATACTGAGTTGCTGCACTGTCACGTCTTTGATTTTTCAGATATAAATTTTGGCTTTTTGATTTTTTTATGAATTAAAAGTTGCTATGAGTCATATGAATGTTCTTCAGAATCAACACTGCCTTGTCCAGATTCCCTGGTTACTAAAGGAAGTTTTTCGGGATGCATATTATTGTCTATTTGATGATGACAACATACAGAGACAAAAAGTGATGAGATAAAAAACATATTTACCATTTAAATAGGTTTAATTTCATGTCTCCTGTCCTTTAGTAATCTTCATTTTTTTTTTTTCATCATTGTCTCTTTAAATCCATGTCCCTTCCAAAATTTGAGCCTGATTCTTTTAATATAATAATCTAGACTAGGGATATCAATAAACTTCAGATCGCTTTGGAAGATGAAGAACTACCAGAGATGGCCAAACCTTAATGATCTTTTCAATAGCAGAAGCCAGGAGATTCTGCTCATTGCAGTCTTGGCTTTCTACTCACCTCTGGAATCTGATGAGCCTTACAAGCTCTGCAGCCAGGTTAGCAAGGTCAGACACACTTTCTATTTAAAAATCAACCTTCTGTCATAATCTCATGGGATAATCCAAAAATCAGGGCAATACCAAGCTTACAGAAAGAAGGTTATTCAGAACATTTCAGAGATTTAAAACCACCATTTCATTCTTATTATGTAGAATGAGTATTACTTTCTCACCTTTTCCTCATTTGCAGCCAATAACGATTCCATTCCTATCTTCAACCTTTGAACTTCTTGATCTAAAAACGTTTTGAAAATGTTATAAAGGAAAATACCCTTGCTACTTCTGTGTAAACAATAAGTGTTTTCTGATACTTTCGTTACCTTCTTATGAGTAACCAAATCATGTCAGTGGCATGGCAAACGCACTATCAAGCTACATTTAACTTGGGGCTTTTTAAAAGCTGACCTATTGAAAGCACTGCAGAATGAAAACATGCTGGTTTTGCTTATAACAGGCTATTCAGTACTATCTTATATTTACTAAAGTCAAATAATGACAAGGAAAAAAAAGAAACACTGAAGCTTATTTTGCAAAAGATGATAGTGTTTGCTGTTACATATTTAAGTAAATGAAGTATGATTGAAAATTAATTATATTCTGAGAAAAATATTTGCCACCTTATGGGAAGTAGCTCAAGGACATTCATGTAGCTTGGAAATGCAAAATAACTAGTTTGATATTAAGAAAATGAGTTGTTTGGGTTTTTTTTTATTTTCTTAAAGCTTTTCAGTATGAGTAAGTTAAAATCTACATCAAGAGCTAATGAATTGCTCTCAAGTGCCTTGCACACAATTTAGTGTCACAAGATAGAGGTTATTCAGGATTGTTATAGTCAAATCAATTCAAACACACCCTCTGAAAATTTGTAAGATTATCACAATCATCCTAACTTTGTGAACTAAATATGTTATTTCTCCTCTACTCACTATTCCTAGCAAGTCCTGCCATACCAACCTATACTAAATTGAGTGTAGATGATGGAAACAGAACCTGAAATAGTGTATCTGTTGTAACTGCCACTCATGGAATTCGTGCTTTGACATAAAATAGATCCACTTGTTTCACAAAAGACAATGAAAAACAGATGCAGCAGGCATGAAGTCAGAGAAGAAAGAAAATCAATGCTGCTAAAGATCATCTTTAAAAAAATGGTCTACAACTTGATGTTGAACATACAATGTCACAGTTATTTGCAAAAACGGTTATTAGATTTTCTATAGTGATTCTGAAAAATACACACTTAGTAATGATTAAGTTTTAAAACATGTAAATTAATCTTGCAAACACTTCCTTTGCAGAAGAGAACAGTTACTAACACAAGACATACACAGACACAGCCAAATCAAAAACTAAAGCCAGCAGATATTAGGCAAGCAACTGGAAGACTTAAAGCCATTAAAATCACAGTCCTACTAATTCCTTTTTATAAATAATAGACTTCAAATAGAACTGTTGTCAAGGTATTTTTAAGCACACTGAAGCAAACTTTACTCACAATATTTATACCATCATCAAGTATGGAAACATTTTTATTCAGACTGCTTTTTTCATTTAATTTACTGCACTGATTAAAAAAAAAAAAAGCCCAAATCCCTCCCCTCTAAGGAAAGGTGCTTTCAAACAAAGCTATCTTTCTAGACATTATATGAATTGTACATATGTACAAATAAAAAGAGGCAAAGGTTAAGTTTTGACTCTGTTAACCTTGACAAAGTCCCTTTGAAGTCCACCTCTCTGATTTGTGAACCTCTATTTTTTCTGAAATCTTACTAAAAAGGGCAAGTAGCTGTCTGCTTGCCACAAGCAATGAAAGCAATGTCTCACATGTATTACAATTTGACAGCCAAATCTAAACAAACATTGAATTATTGCTCCAGAATGCATCTGAGATATGATTCGTGTGAAAGGAACAGTGAGATAAAGCCAAGAGTGAATTGCAAGGCTTACGTTTTTCTTTTAGCCTTCTCCTATAAACTTCCTCTACGATGGTAAATGGTGAGGGTCAAATAAAGTATGCAGAAAAAGCACATATTAGATAAACTTTGCAATTTAGTTAGAATTTGCATTCCAGCACACTACAAGTACATTGATATTATTTTTCAACTTTATTTGATAAGACGACTTTAAAATCTGATAATTAAGTATTTATTTTCTTTTCCCCCAGAAGAATTATTACTGCTGCATATTCTTTCCATTCAAATAGAGTCTAAGTGGTTTTCTTAAATGTCGTCTAAAGAATCTGTAAGAATCTGTACAGGGTTTGATTTTTTTCCCCATACTGGAATCAAGGACAGTTTTACTCATCTTCAATCTGAACAGGAACAGACACTACTAGAAGTTTAAAGTTGCTGAGCTCTTGATTTATTCCTATACCACTCTCTTTCCTTTGAAATTCCATAAATCATTTGGCAATCTCATGGAGAATACAGAATGCTATTAATAGAAGAGCTCCTATACAAAACTGCTGTTATGCAATTTGCTAGTTAGACATGCAGTTCTCTACATGCACAAGTGTTGCAGCTGAGTGAAATCAGCATCATGTACATGTTAAGTCACTTCTTTGGCAACAGTCAAAAACCAGTCTTGTATAAAAGACACATCTGCATTAATTCCTTTAAGGATATTCTTGGTAAGCCCTGACAGAAAGATAGCACAGCACTGGAAAAGTCACATCTCAACAAGGGCACTCTTTGGAAGCATTAGTTTACACCCACAAGATAAGTTAGTGCAGCTAAACTGATGCACTGCATTAAGCTACACACAAGTATTTCTGCATGGCTAGGTGGCAGGATATGGAAGAAAAAGGTCACTAATATCATGTTGCTCACAGCCCAGCCATTGACAGAAGCTCAGGGCAGTCAGTATTTCAAGGAACTGAAATTCAGTTTCACATGATCTGTTGAGACCAAAGGCTAAACAAGCTGATTTGCCATAGACCTGTATCAACAGTGCAGATTTAAATGAGAACCCTGCAGTATCATAACGTTATAGAACAGACCCTGAAAGGGACCTTGAAATACTATCTGGGCCAACCTTTCATGGGAGAGGGAGCCTAAATAATATATAGTCTTGAAGAAAGAAAAGACATGAATCAATGACTATGTTTTAGGATGTTTGGACATTTAAACATTATGCTTAGCTACTACTGTGACAATATTTTTTTCCTTAAAAAATGGGAACTGTAAAGATTTTTCAAAGAAATTTTGAAGGTATGCACAAAAATAAATTCTCACTAAAATACAATAAATCTCTCAAAATTGCAAGTAAAATTCCACTAGAAAAAGTTTCAGTGCTGTTGGGATACATATTGCAATTTATCACTGCCTCTAGACTGGGATAGAATTTCACATATTCACATCTGGCCTCTACCAGAAGAGAAAATATATTTGCACTCTTTTTCCTCCCCAAATAAATATTCTGGTCTCTCCTTGTATTCCTTTGAAATACTGAGCCAAGCGGCCACCAAAGTGAAATTAAAGTAGGTTTTGGATTTGAAATTTTATTTCCCCTCCTCTTACCTCTTTCTGCCACTTCGTTATGTGATGAGGTCCTGGACAGCTGACTTTGTAAGCGTTCTATTTCTGCATCTTTGAGAGCTAATTGCTCCTGAAGCTGGGCTATCTCAGCCTGAAAAAGAGTAAACAAATTGAGAATAACATTGTCACCAATGCTCTGTGATTCTTTCCCATGAACCAGAAGAGTTCTAAGCGTAACACTTCACTTTGATGTCCCATTCCTGATTCAGGACACTTCATAAACACTACAACAACTGTACATACTTCATGGTATGTACACTTCTATATTCTATTTCTTCTACAGAAGCTCACTTTTTCCAATGCAATTAGCTCTCAAATAATAGACTTACAGAAAGGTACCATTTTCAAGGAGTCATGTAGGTAAAGAAACTCTGGAAAGACCTCAGTGCTACAATTCTGGTCATATATTAATGACTATTATGGGGCAACTCCAGAGTTTTGCATGAAGACCACTAAAAGATAACAAAGCATTTTTTGAAAGATCCTGGGTTTTTTATCCTCATTACTATTTATCAATATAACTGAGAATCTACAAATGCTAAGCCCAATTCTCAGCAGGGTAACAAAACTGTTCTTACATCAGATACTACAGCAAATAGTCTAGAAGCAAAGTATGGCTTGGAAAACAGCAACACATATACCACAAAATACCAACGGCTCATTTACACTTACTGCAAATTGTGCTGCCACTAGAGTGGGATAGAATATCACACATTAAGGACCTCAACAGCACAGAGTGAGAAGAATTCTGTGACTGTCCAGCTTGAAATATACTGGCTCTCAACTCTTTTTCCTATCTGTGAGAAACACTGTCAAGAGCATACTTTACTAAGTTAGTAGTTTCATTAAGATTTTCTTCAGCAGTCTTAAAGCCTTTCTGTATCCACCTTCTGCATTTCCACAGCAAAAGCATAAAAATCTCCTTGCAGAAAAGAAAAAGAAACAAATCAAAGAAAAAAAGGAAACAGACAAACAAATAATTCACTTCTGTGACCAGTTACTCAAAATACTAAAGGAAAGCGGAACACCAAACAACGGGGGAAAACATGGACTAATTTACTCTAATACAAAAACTTATTTTCACCAGGAAGCAAACAGCTCTGGCTGCAATTCCACATGAAATAGAAGAATCTGCCTTGTTGCATCTCTGAAGGGCTCCTACACTTCCCAGAGACTAATATGCTTTTTATATCCAGCCATGGAAATATTCCAATTCCTCATCTGAGAAACTGGAGCAACAGGAAGACAAAAGCTGAAGACATTTTAATACCAGATTTGGATTTGGCTCCGCTGGTCTATTTGATCTCATAGCTCTTTTAAATGATGTCTTTTCTTGAATGTCTCATTCCAGTCATCTCTCAAATTATTTTTCTGCTTCCCCTCTCTTTCCCTGTACTTTTCTTCCCTTCTAGACATGCATCTTCTCCTACTCTTCTTTCTTATTTCACTCCTATGCTTTCCATAATCTTTATCTGTCTTGGCAACTGGCCACAGGCCACAACACTTGAGAAAATATTTTCCCAAAGACTGTTCATATCCACGACTTAAGAGAAAACATTTTCATGGATACAAGACCTATGATCTTAATAGGAAAAAAACATGAGAGCAACATTTCATAGAACATTTCAATATTCATCTGAGAATTCTCAGAAGAAAGAAATGCTAATACAAACAATAGCTGTCTGTCATTTCAGGATCAAGCTATCACGTATTAAAAAGAAAACTCAGTTTAATAATTCAAAATGTTTTTCCAAGATCCAACCACAACTCAGAGTCAGTAATTCATATGAGCAGGGATTAAAGTACTACACAAATGAAAGGAGATGCGATTACAGCACAAAAGCATACAGGGAAAAACAGTGAGGCTCTTTTTAATCTAAAAGAATTTTAATCTAAAAGAATGGAAAAGGGATAAAAATTCAAACTAGAAATAAAGTTCAACTGTTTAACAATGAGAATGTTGAACTAGAAAAAATAACGATTGGGGAAAATAATGAAATGTTTCAGATGTCAAGTTGTGCCAGATTAGGACCCAACAGCTTTCCAGGATTCAAGGTCAACAGAAGGGTAAGGCAGCTATGCACTTTGTTATAGAGGAAGTCAAAGCAGATGATCTAATAGTGTATTTTGGGCTTAATGTCTATTAAAATAAATTCCACACTAAGTGAACACCCAATCAACTTTGCATGTCTCTTCAAACTGTAAAGCAGATTCCACAGAAGCTTGTCACCAATACACGAATGAAAGATGGAAAAATTTCAAAGATTTCAAAGATTCAAAAAGTTTCCTTACAATAGGCCTTTTTAAGTCAGAAGGGCTTCTTGATTCATTTTTTTTTTAATAACAGTTACAAAAAGGTAGAATATTGGAAACTGCAGGGAGGAAGCAAAAAGCACAAAAAGGAACTACAAAAAACTTCAAACCAAAATACTCATTACAAAGATGGCTTAAGAAAACTTGACTCATAATAGGCCCTGACATAAGGCAATTGTAAGAAAAGTAAATATTTCCCTTTCCAGCTGAAACGTCTGTCATTAGTAAATGCCAAATATTCTGCTCACTTTAGTTGCTTTTAATTTCCACTCATATTGATTTCTTTCATTTTCCAGTTCTTCCACTTTAATTTTGAGGTGTCTAAGTTCCTGAAGCAAACCCTGCAAAGGAAGAACAGCAGGTGTAAATAAGATTTCTCTGGTAGTTAGTAATCTTTCATAGTCCTGAATTAAAGATCATGCATGAACCACACAGTAGTGAACACTGAACCACCACATTAAGAACCGTGAACTAGTCTTAGAAGACAAAAAACTGTTTTGAATTGAAAGATAAGGAATACTTTCTCAAACTGTCCACTTGAAATTATGAACAAATTTCCTATTTGTATTAAGGAAGATAGCTGATCCTGATGAAGTCATGTGTGTCTTGGTGAAAATGAGCCAAAAGATCTGCAAATGCACTCTCATGTAACATCAACTATCAGTGTTTTATTGCAGGGTTAGTTTTACTTGTTTTGTTTTGTGTTTTTAAGTCTCATTTCGTTTTTAAGCCACCTCAGAAAGTGAGGAGAAACATGCAGTACTAGAGTTTACCGGACTGCCAACTTTAACTGAAGTGACAATCCTTGCCCCAAGCAGGTGTTTAAACTGCTTACCAAGAAATATAACACTGAGACAAAATAGTATCTAGCAAGCTACAGGCATTTAATACCATACACATACAGTCAAATACGACCACAAATATGCTACTTTAACTGTTAATGTTTGCCACTTTGCAAACTGACTTGAGGTAGCCAAGGGCTGCACCCAACCAGGGTTCCTACCCTTCTCTTTTATTCCTCTACTCCTGAGAGATGAAGTTGTTCCTTAAATATCACTCCGACAAGACCAAATGTCTTCAAATGAACTCAGGAAAAAAAAATTTGGAAGCTTAGCCCAGTTTTGGAATGCTGTATAGTATATATGTTGAACAGCCATACTAATATCTTGGGTTAAATTATTTTGAATGACTCCCAGATTTGACTCTCATGTTTTCTTCAAAATGCGATTTGTAGTGTAGTCTAATAGTTCACTAATTATTCTGGACAGAGGCAAGCTCAGAAAAATAGCACTATTTTCAAAACAGGCATCATGTCCAAATGAATTAGTTTTGTAAAATAAACCTATGAGAAAAGTTACTGAAAAACTCCCTCACAATATAAGCAGATATAAAATGAGTTCTGGGGATCCAAACTGTGACCAAAGAGAGGTGGCAACTAAAGCAAATCAATTTAAAAGCAAATATTTTCAGGCATACTAGTACCATCCACCTTCTGTAAATTTAAGTGCTTTAGGCAAAGTAGTTTTTGTTTTGACATGTGACAGTTTTGGTCAACTACAACTAGGATCTGTAATGTAAATTCAAAAATGCTTTCCTGGTAACTGCTAATGTCAAATAAGAAAGAAAAATGTGCTGGATTTGCTATTTTAAAGGTGTTTTTATTATGGCTCCTTCCATTCATTTAGCATTATCAAAGGCCACATTTCAGATACGCTTACCTAAAACTATTTCATACCTGTGTAAAGCTTTTAAGACAGTGAAGAATTAATAATCTGTGTTTAGAGGACTAGTTAGGATGCACCATCATGCACAGCTAGGGTGACTGTGAGGAAAACTAGCAAACTACCAAACCATGCTAGCATGCTGCATATCAAACAGATAAATCTCAACTATGGAAAAAAAACAACCCCTCAAATAATAAATTAAAACCCCCCAACCTACACACCACACCAGCACTACAGACTTACAAGTACAGTTAGATTCATAAAAAAACTGAAAGTGCTTAGGTCTACAGATAGCTGTGCCTTAGCAGACAGACATCAATGGTGACCCAATTTATTAATTGGGGTGGGGTGTCTGGGTTGAAGAGTTTCTTTTTTATTGTAATTTTTAAGACCACCTCACTCTTTGCTAATGAAAGTCACAAAAGTTAATGCCAGTAATTCACAACACAATCCTGGTTAGCAGAATTTAGTTTCTGCAAGAGCAGATAAGAGGCAACACACAGGCTAAGGTGTACTTCTCATACATTGCACTGAGAGCAATTCTTCTGGCTGAGAGTCTCTACCACTGATGTTGGACTAGACTGAGGACCATTAGGTGTCAAGTCTGGTTTCCTATCTTGAGAATTTCTTTCTTGGATTCTACTATTAATTTCCAGCTGCAGTCTACACATCTGCTCCTGTAGCTCACTTATCAGGTTCACTACTGACTGAAAACATGGGAAGAAAGGAAAAAAAAAAACAGACAAAAACAGATTTAAAAAAAGTGAAAAATAAAATGATGCAAAGAAGACTTCTACAATTGCAGCACAAAGAAATACATGAAGCACATCAAAGCAAACTGAAAAAAACACCCCAAGAGATTATCTATTTTCCTTTTGTTAAAGTATATGTGAATGGATTTAAATCTGGAATACTGCACAGAGCTACAGGTTACATAGAACAGAGTCAATATTCTGCACTAATTCATGATTCTGATTCTAATATAAAGAACAAAATTTGGCCCCTCAGTTTTGGAAGCTTTTACAGTCACATGAAGTCTGATATCAGGCAGAACTGCAACAGAAGTACACTTTTGCTGAAATGGGAATTGATTCCATTCATTTATACAGCCAAACCATTCACTAGGAAGAAATTGCTAAGTACTCAGATGGGGCCATAACCTACTCCTCACAATTTATACACAAAAATTACTAGTAAATTAATTCTGTTTCCAGGTCTAGCATGGGTCAAAAAATAACTCCATTACTAGCTTGCTAGCTAGGCAGTATTTTGACATGGAGAAAGAGTTAAGCGACATACGCAGGAGAAATCGAAGGATATCACATAAGAAAAAGTAATTAAAGTACACCAATTTGCTGGCCAGATTCTTGGATTTGTGTGTTTCAGTGATACAAACAAAAAATTCATCTACAGAATGCAAACCAAAGACAAGTATTGAAATCTATATAACATTTCACTTAAATTCCCTAACTCAGTAGTAAATAGTGCTGGGTAATTTCTCAGATATTACAAGTTTGGAGTGCTTTTCTCTTAATTTTCACACACATTAACAGCATATGTTTTGTGATTTCTCAATCTTCTCAACTGGAATATAAATCTAAGGAGATTAATCCATCTCCAAAAGGGGGGAAAGATTTTAGTGGACAGGGCAACAGAAGACATGGCATGTTTCTTAGAATTTTCTTCCTTACACTGCACAGAAGCCCTCTTGCCATCTCAACCCTCTGGTGAACCAATAAACACAAAGCTAAAGAACACCTACTGCAAGGACAGGATGCTATTCCAACCAGGTAAGCATATAACACAACCAATCTCAAATTGCATCAACATCCACAGTCAACTTCAAACATTCACAAAGATTTCCTTTCAACAGTGTATGTGTCAGATACAAGAGTTTCACATCAATTATTTTTTTTAGGGCACTGTGCTTAAAATGAAAATCAGGAAAACAGTTGCATATATTTAACTTACATATTATTCTTAGTCAGGATCACAATGTCTGATGCTCATACTCTTTCATCCAACCAACTCTTAATGTATGTAAATGAAGATTAGTTCCATAAACAACCAAAAAAACATTAGAAAGAATACTGGCTACACTGGCCACTTTGCAGCAATACAATAGGACACTGGTGCGGAGAACCTTACCTAACTCATCCTCTTATTAGGAGTACTGCAAAGTAGAACACCTGTAGTACTGGCTGTATGTACAATCTAGATACTATCCACAACCCCTCCACCTTCCATGCTCTAATCTTGTTTCTTTTTTACCATCATCTCCACAACCTGATACTTCACTGAGCAGTATCAATTGGCGATGACTGGAATCATTAGGACACACATCCATCTCCCTTACTTTCTTTCAAGCACCAAGGCTTTTGTTTGTCTTTGACAGAACACTGTTAACCCACACAAGGTTCTGAAGAAGGACTGCTCTAACAAGATGCACAGACATTTGAGCATAAACTGACAGCTGCTCCAGTTGTGCCAACTTGGGAGAGATCAGAAACACTTTGGGTGCAACCTTATCATTCTTTTCCCTATCACCTCACATTAAAAACAGGAATTGGAAACACTCTGCATCCATACAGACTTCCCTCAGGGCAAACTTGATAGTACAGAAATGACAGAAATCCTTACCCAGTGAAGTATAAGAAATCTATGGAGGAGAAACAGATTAACTTCAGCTGCAATATGTGCCCTTACAACTTTTTCTAGCTTCAAGGTAGAAAAGTTTCTCTTTTTGAGATTCCTTTACAGCATGAAAATACATTAACACACTATATATTGAATTTGATTCAGGTGAGACAACACACGAGACTCCCCAGTGGGAGTCAGTGGCTCACTGACTCAAGTTTCTTTGAAACCGCAAGTAACTATGCGCTAGATATTTAACAGCTTACAGCAAGCTTCAGATCCTTAGGAGGAAAAAGCAAAACCAACAAAACCTATCCTATGCCAAAAAAAGAAAGGCTGTTAAGTGAATTGAAATGGACAATCACTTCTGCAGTCTCCTGGTAGTGACAGGAGGTCTCTTTTGTCTTCTGTGTTCAGGTAAGGCAGGCATCTGGGCTGCATTAATCACTTGATGATGCTGATCATTCATGCCTTGCTGCGTTACAAAAACACATTTCCAAATTTTTTAAGGCTTCTCGGGCAAGAGAAAAGCTGCACAAACTCCATCAGATGGGGTTTCAGAAACCTCTACAGAACTGCTGTGGCAAAAATAAAACATTATTCCACAATAAAGGAACTAAAATGACAAAGTCAAGAGTGAGACAGTCTATTTACAAGCAGCTATTCTCCTAGCCCCTGTGTTAGATATATAAATAGGTGGCACTTTAAATTTAGTATGTGCTTTTGAAGAGCCAGAGACAAGTGGCATTCAGTGTGAAATTAATACCTTTGAGAAGATGTTAGAGATGCTTAATAAACTCCTTGCTGCTAACTAAAACCAAATTTGAACAACAGCTGCATAAGAGAAAGTGAAATGAACCTGACACATTAAAACTTGCTCCTATTGAGAAGGATATCTTAATTTGCTTTGTTTCTGCTCAACTCAACCAGAGAAATAATTCTATAGATAAATTCCATGTGACTGGAAAAAGCTGCTGTGAAATAAGCTGACACAAAATGACAGTACAGAGCAAACATGTTTGAGCTGAATTATTCTGCAATGTCACATTTAATTTTAAACTTTTAAAAAGCCATTATTATACTTAGAAATGGCATGGTCAACCATGGAGTATAATTAACAAGCTGTTTGAAAGGGTTTCACTACTGGATACCTCTATAATACATGCACTAGGGTGAAAACTCAAGACTATTACCTTCTGATAGTAGCAAATCTATCAAATCCCTGTTCTGCTCACCTCTGTCAATCCTAAACTCAGTCCTGAAAGCAGGAATTGGCTGTCTGCAGTCTATAAAAATGGCTCCAGCACTGTCACCCGTAGCTGTATTCAACTTGCTTAAAAATACTAATTGCAATTTCATTTGAGGTACTATACCTGCAGAAGAATGTTGACGTAGCTACAACATTCAGAGATTAATTTCATTTGGTCACTGTCAGTTCGGAGAACTGTCTTACTCTGAAGCAAGTAGGTTATCGCAACACAACTGCGTATGTGTAAATGAGAGCAAACTAAATGTAGACTGAGTACCTACAAGTGGCTTATTCATTTAGAAAGATGTAGCTGGGCAGAGGAGACAGGAAGTTCAGGAAGACACTCAAGCTATTACCAAATTTAAGCAGCAGTTGTAGTCTAACATTATAAAGGAAACATATCAATAAATTTCATTCTTATGTTTGAAATAGTGTTTGTATTGAAAAATTAATGAAATTCACAATAAAAGGAGCTGTAACAGGGTTAAAGCATTAGAATTCAAGTAAGCAACCAATTTGACTGAAAGCAACCCCTGTTTATCTTTACAAATTAGATTAATGCTTATTCAGGACAGTCTGAAGTAATTTTTTAAATGGCTCAACAAGTAAACTAGAAATGATGTTTATTTCCCACAGCTTTACTTACTCATTTTCCCTCCACTGTATACACAGGTTTGCAACTTTCAACAGGCCAGAAATCTAATCACATCTTGGGGTAGTTAATAATTCAGGGCATACTTAACACAATGATTCTCAACTTTTCCATCAGATTAGAAGCCTTTTCCATCTCAACAGGAACATTTCCTATCAGTCAGCAATACAGCAAAGGCTTCCAAGCCCAGTAACGCTCAACTTTTCCATCAAATGGGGTCACACACAGTTTTGCAGTATCAAAAGAATTTCACAGTTCATAGCCTCATCCTTACCACAGGCCCAGACCTACTATCAATGCAAATGCACTCAAAACCTTTGTTGCCTTCCAGAAGTCAGGCTGACTCTGCATGTCCTGCAATAATTTAGACGCCCTCATTCCATTACATGTTGGACACCAGGAAGAGCTGAAGGCCTCTCAGAAAGGTGGCTACTGAGAGTAGGCTGCAATCTGTAGCAATTACGTGCTGCACAGACTTGTTTAGATTTTCAAGTAGTAAGAGACAATTATGGGTGAAAGAGCACAAGGCGGCCATAGATGGTAAAAACAGCAGCTGGTGCCTCCCTGGCTTGCAACCTCTGACAGGGATTGCTCTCTTTAAGCTATCTTTTGATCTCCAAAGAAAACTTCTGAGGATAAATAAGTCAAAACCAAACACACTCCAAACAAATTATGTCACTGCAGGTAAATTACTTATGCATGCTTCTCAAATATTCCACTAGTGACATTATGGAGATCAAACAGTTTTCTAACACTGCCTGGATTTCAAATTCTCCTGTGTCAACATGGAAGTTTTTTCAGTCAGCAACGTATGAATCTTGGACCTAGCAATCCTCCCTTGCCAGATAATACACTTCTGTCAGTTGGTTCCCTTCCAGGACCATTGAGTAGGGTAACGCATGGCAATTCATATGAATTACTTTCTTCATAATTGCTTTCCTTCCCAGCTCCCACCTGCTGCTCACTTCCACGATTCCATGTTCATGTTTCTCTGTTTTATATTCTTTCTTAATCAATATGGTAAAAAGCAAAGCTTCTTTGATGACCAGAACCCTCCGCATATGAAAGGGAACAAGGATTAGAACTGCCTCCAATGCATGTAATTTTTATTTTATTTTTGTTTTGCACTATTTATTATGTAACCACAAGGGAAAAGGCTCATTTGAGGAATATGCCCTGCCCCTTGTCTTTCCCACCCAAGTGCCATGAATGCGTTGAAATCAGCAAGGGTGATCATCTAAGTGTTTGTAGCACCACTGATACTACTGGGCTGACAAGTCTTCTCTGCCACATAAACAAGGAATTAGCTCTCATAGGCCTCACATGGCCATGCCCGCCAACCTTATGTGAAAATGAAAGGGTTAAGTGAATGGCAACTGTAATGTATGCTTCTGGAAGGGACTTTGTGCCTTGATTAAAGCCAAACAGCAACCTCTGGAAGTATAATGAGAGAGGGGAAAAGAAACCACATCCCAAAAATGCATAATCATATTCTTCACTCAATTCACAGGATCAATGGCATGGACGGAAAATCCTACTGCATGCCGATTTCAGCTTGTATGCTCAGGTGCATGACAGCATACCAGAGACGTGATAAAAGAAAAAAGAAAACAACCTAAGGAAAGAAACTCACCTCAGCTTTGTTTTGTCTCTCTTCATATTCACTTTGCTCCTTTTCCATACCAACCAGCTTAATCTTCAGGTCTGAAACTTCAGCCATTAAGTCTAATTTTTGAGTCTCTAGTGATGTTCGACTTAGCAACTCCTGAAATCAAAGCAGAACATTTTCTCTGGTTATTTAATTGAACACTGACAGAATGCTACATGATTTATTGGCATATCCGTACTAAAGCCCCTACCCCATTGTTTAACGCTTTCAATACAAAAGCAAAATGATTCTCTTAAAGTCACAATTGCTATTGCTTTACAATGGAAAAAAAGCAGCAAGATAGCTCTGATGAAAGCATCTACTGCTGGCAGAAAAAGTAACTAAAGCAAAACAAACAAAAAAAAGATTATTGGCAAATTCATATTAAAGCACATTTCCCTACCTATCTTCACAGCATCTATTCTTTGACCTGTTTGAACTGCATGTTACTCAGATTTTCACATAAACGTTCTCCCATGTTAATGGCTATGCCGCTGTATTCTCTGCCATATTTCAGGAAAACGTGTGGCAGAGTTAATCCCCAGGCAAGCCATGAAATCAGAAAACAATACTAAAGCTAGGCAAACAGAAACCTACATAATGCCACATGACACATTACAAAAGAATAGACTACTTCCTAAAATACTCATCAGAAAAAGCTATGTTTTAGTATTACAATTAAACATTTTAGAACTTCTTACGATGTGTTGCTTGATAAAGGATATTACAGAATAAGCACCCTAAACAAAACAGAGTACCGAAGACATTCAGCAGTAATACTAGCAGTACTTGGAAGTTTACATTATGTGGTACTTGGTAACTTCTGAAGACTATACACTGTGGAGGGAACAGCAGTGAATAAAAAGTGTATCCCCAAACTGGAATCAAAAAGGCAATATCTAGACCGAGTAACAGTGTAAAGTAGAAATAATTAGCCATGAGTTTTGCGTGTGTACCCTGAGTTTGTTTTTGAGGTTGCAAAGAGATGTGTACTTTGGACCCAGTGATAATCACTGTGTTTGGAAAACATTCAGTAATCACCTTCCCTGCATCTTTCAAAACATCTTCCAAAATATAACAGAGTTTGATGTTAACGCTTCTGTTTTTCATTGTCAAAGAATGGAAAAAAGCCCTCCAAACCATTCAGAACTTTAAGCCTTACTGGAAAATTAATACTTACAGTGCCTAAATAATTCTTACAAAAGAATGATGGTTTCTAAATGGTTAAAAAATTTTTGCTAACTCATAACTCACATCACTGTTTTTATCATGTGAAACACACTGAGGAATCACAGCAGATTCTGCTTTGAATTACACAGAAGTGACTTAAGCGAAGTTGACATAGCTATTCTGGATCTATGCTGATGTTACTGAGCGATCGAAACTGCCCTGTCCATCACCCTTTTCTTATGTCTTCCTCTCCCATAAACTGCACAGTATGTTGTAGACCATGTCCTGGAGCCACAGAACCCACAAAGGTTATTAAAAAAATTACACAGTTAAAGCGCATTTGGAACCTAAATCTACTCTACAAGTAAACTGTTTTAGTCTGGTGGGGAATACTGCCCAAATTAAAAATAGTACTGAACTTGCATCTGCATTGCAACACCAATTATCTAAGCCACCCACTACTCCCAGTGCCATGGCAATTCCTGCTGACATTGACAATGATATTTGTGTATGGGTGGGAAAATACACAGAAATGTAGTCTCATGATTTGGTTAGGTTTTTTCCTCTAAATGAAATAAATCAAGCACTGACCAAGAAAAGACAGTGCACTGCCTTTTTTTATTGAGAAACACTCAGAGGCAGTTACCTAATGAAATCTATCTAGTAGCTCCTTTCTACAAAGGTGAGTACAAATTACAATTCTAATTACAAGTAACTCCTCTATCTTCCAGAAAGATGCTAATTCGCGTAAGATCCATAGTAGCACATTCCAATCCAGACTGGAACAGGCTCTGTACAGCTGTGAACATATCAGACTTCTGAAAATAATGACATAGCTATAAATGAGAACTTTGATATGAAATAAGGCCAGTGAAAACCAAAAAGGTTGTCAGGGTGAGGTGACCTTGGCCCCGGTCAGACTCTGTTCACTGTTGAACTGAAATATTTAGAAGTTGGGGTTTTTTGACACTGACATGGCATTCCATGATACAACAGGAAGATTTCTGAATAAGGCAAGGAGACATGGCATCACTCTAGAGATTAACAAAAGATGTACTCTTTGAGTGCACCATCGGGCATTACTCCTTATTTTTTCTATAGACCTCCAACTTACACTTAGTTATGCAACAGAGACTAATACCTCACTCCTCACATGCCGAGTTTAGTAGCTCCATGTGAACACTAGAGTGCTACCTGGTATAAGTGAGCATTAAGGCACCTGATGTTTGGGTTTGTTTTTTTTCAACCAACTCAAACAAAATTTTGCAGTTTGCTCTGAAGAAGGAGAACCAGACTCCCAGCCAGTGTGAACTGGCATAAAACTCTTGCCTTAAAATAGACAAAATAGCTAACTATCCCTAGTTTGTTTTCAGTGGAGCTACACTGATTTAAAACAGCTGACAATTTCTCTTGCATCTAGAGAGTCTAACTTCTGCTTTGAAAGAAAGTGCCATTTAAAGTAAATGTCCCCTCTTGAAATGGTAACATCTGGAAGCAATTATTTTCATCTTCAAGCAGATGCTCACAGTGAACAGCCCATTAAGAATGTGACCCATTTTGTTACAGAGAAATTATGGTGTATTTCAGTGGTATGATGCAATTTGAATTCAGCCAGAATAAATATGCAATTGTAAGAAAAGAAAATATGAATTTATGTTATTGGTTTTAAAGCAAAAATGATACTATAAGACAGGCAAAATGGTAATTTGGGCTGAAGCAGCTTTAGGAGGATCTTAATGAGCTGAAGTAGAGAACAGAAATACAACATATCCCAGGGAACTTTATTTATAAAACAAGATACCTGTTTTTATTTTTTTTAAATTTTAATATCTACTATAAGTATAATTTCATTACTCAAAATTATCTTTTCAAAACTCTTTAAAACTTTTAAATTTAAAGATAAAGCAAAAAACCTATTTTCAAGTAGAATAATTACAAAGATGAGTCATGCAGAAGCTACAATATGCATGTGCCAGACAGATCAATCAACAGCAAACTATTTCCAAACACAACTGTATTTTTAAAACCTATACTGTCTACTTTTAAGGTGTTTAATCATGTTTTTCAATATTCCAAATGAAACTGAGGCATATGCTGTATATATATATATATATATAAAACTCACGCATTGTGCTGTCTTGGAAATACATAATTCTTATAAAAAAGACATGACAGAAAATAGCTTAGAAAGAGCGCACTACACTTTTCTAGGCTGTCAGCTGCAAGCACAGAAAATTCCATGATATTTAGCACTCCACATAACAGACGAAACAATCATGCCATACACTGATTGAGAAACCATAAGTAAGATTTTAGTCAAGTGGGAGGAAAAAAAAACCCAAAGATCCCATTTTGCAATTGTGCATTGTACAAAATACAACACTCAAAAATTCTCTAATTTTCATCCTTATTAAAATCAAAAAAAAAAAAAAAGGAGACAGAAAGACCAACCATGCTACCTACCTGGTAAGCAAAATTCACCAAGAACCACTGCTAATGAGAACTGCCCATTTCAAGTGCTGTGTGTCAGCTGTGGTAGAAATAAGGTATTTGCTTAACTGAAAACACAGCTGAGAGCAATGTACATGTGTAATCGCCATGAAACAGTGCAAGTTAGTAGCAGAGAGTAAATGACAGCTCTCCAATTCATCGTTTGTCTGTTATATAGTTAAGCAACAAAAAAGGACAGAGCTTCCCCCAGCACTGCCAATTTGAACAGCATAGACTTGACCAGCAGATTCATGCCTACATTAACTGTAAAATAACAAAGCAGTGTAATGCTCACCTGTGTAAATACGCTGCACAACTTGGGAGCACACACTGAAAATCTTATGCCTCACCCCAGAGCAGCACAGAGCACGCTTCAAAATCTGAAACACTAAGCTAGCTTCTGGCAAGAAGTTACTGCATGCTATAAACAAGTGCTGAAATTCATCTAAGATCAGATAACTCGGGCAACTGAAAGCTGAAGGAATGATCTTTGCCGGCCAGCAAAGTTCCTGAGAAGCAAACATACACACTAGATTTATACCCTCCAACCAAGACAGGATTCTGGCTCCCCCGAGTATAAGACAACTGCAAAACCAGAACAGGTACACAGTAAACTGTGTTGGATTCAAGTTTCTACTTTCAATACAGCTCCTCCCTGCATTCTTTTAATCCACGGGTTTTTTAAAGATTCTCCATTGTGCCTCACAAAGGGCATTCCCTGGTGCACTTCCCCCTGCTCCGTGCACCCAGGCAGAAGCTGGCTGTAAACGGACCCAAGAAACAGGAATTCACTTCTGTTTGCAATCAAGCATTTCAGTTTCTGTGTGTATTTTTTAAGGCAGAAAGAATCCTAAAGCCAAACACTGTACATTGCAAGAGAATTTACCTGACAGAAGACAATCATATTTACACAATGCAACTATCTGACAAGAGTCCCCTGGATTGCTTCTTGCACTTCTGTGTCAGAAATAATTTGGAAGGTGGAAATACAAAGTCAGACCACATCTAGGATTTCATACAGGTCAAGTACAGGAAAGACACTGCCACACAGTGGGAAAGCAAACTAAACTGAGTGCTTTTTTACTTCATGCCAGACAACTTCCATGGGAACTATGATCTGTTAAATAAATCAAATGCAGCATGGGGATAGCAAAAAGGTAACTAACGATATTCTTACAATTACCATAAGAAATGCATTTAAAAGTGCATTTGTGAAGGTGAAATCTTTATGTGCAGAAAATTCACTTTTCAAACTGACTTAACACAGTTGTCAAGAATGACAGCATGGATTCCCTACCATGAGAGGTTAGGCGCATTTATAGAGCAAAAGTGACTTCTGCTTCCCAAGTCTATTCTACATTTGTACACAGCACAGATGAAAGAAAAGTTGACAGCAAGTTGATAGGAGGTTCCCCTAAGCTAACATAGCAGATGTTCAAGACCCAATCTTCTCTTAAAAAAAAAAAAAAAAAGAAACTCTTAAAATTGACTGAAGTACTTGAAATGCCACAAACTAACTTGGAGCAAGACACACACGCACATCATTGTTCTCTAAAACTGGCTGTAATTATACATTTTAAAGCATCTGATATGCTGAGAATAGACTGTCACAGCACAAGCTGTTTTCATAGGATAATTCTAGGACTTTGGGTTTAGTTTTTTTATTATTTCAAAGGCATTCATTATTATATGCTAAGTGGCAAGGCAAGTAACTATTCACACACGCTGCCATTTCCATATCCATTACACATTTGATGGCAAAGTCAGAGATACCACTGGAAGGAAATTCAGCGAGACTAAACTGGTGTCTTGCTCTCAGTCATGCCCCAGAAAATTTTACCTTACCATTTACAATGAAGGGTGATCAGGGAAATGTGTTCCTTGGCCACACCGTAATCATACTTAAGGACAGATTTAAAGTTTTGCCATTGACTTTCAGGAGCTTTCAAACACCTACTTTGTTTTTGAAGAAAGAGAATGAAAACATCTTATAGGTAAAAAAATGCTTTATCCTGAGTAGTAATGGAACAAGCATCCTTACCAAAGCAAAATGTTGAGTTTGACACTACAAGCATCACATCTCATGAAAGTATTACCTGTAACTGTGCACACTAGGGCATCTCTGCATCTGCCACATAGGATTCTCCTGTTTCTCAAACACTGCTGAGATGTATTCTCCTTGGCTCTTGTTTCATAAACAGATAGGTCAAATGTACAACTCACCATCACCTATATGCCACACCTTAACCTTTTCAGTGAGCTGTTTCAACTCAATAACCCAGCAGAAAGCATCCCCCTTTTTTTTAAACCACAAGTTAGTTTTCTCTGACTCATTGAGGAAAAAGTCTGAAGAGCATGAAGTCAGTATAACGTAAGTTGCAGAAGCACATGGTTAGGAACAGGGAGAAGAATGAAAGAAGAATGGGGACTTCTCCTTTTTGTGGCAGTAACCTTCAGACTGGCTCAACTAATTTCTTAAAGTTCACATTTTGACTAAGGGAATGATACCACACCGTTCCCTGAGTGATAAAGAGTCTTCTGCAAAGAAGCAGCAGTATCTGTTGCTACTGTTCCACATTCAAGATGTCCACCCTAAATGCTGAACAGCCATTTTATGTAATTGGTATAAAGTTTATTTTAGCTGCTGTTTCAGAAGCGTTTCCACAATCACTTTGTAGCTGGGTTCAAAACAACTTTTGCATAAATCATAAGCCAGAAGGATTTGAGCCAGTAACCCCACCCTGAAAAAATGGACAAGTCTCTGCTAGCACAGATTCAGCAAAAACGATTTTGCAGGGTAGCATTACAAACCCTTTTTGTTGCAGAATTATCAGATACCATCATTAAATTACCTTAAAGTGTATGATTATTATTTTTTTATTTTAGTATTTGGGGCACAGAATCAAGACATTCTTCTTACAGTTCCCAAAACTAAAAAGACTTGCCCTGGACTCAGTTATACTTTTCCCAGATAAGTAAATAATATGCTGATCCATATTGCATTTAGCTTACTAATATGTATTAAAGATTTTTCAAGCTAGGGCAATTATCTTTATCGTTCCATCTTCCATTGTGAAAAAGCAGTTGACTTAAGTTCACTAAGGTAAAAATCAGTGGAGTTTAATATACTGTAAATAAGCAAGAAGAACCATGAAATCAAACTGGATTTGCATACACCGCAGGAATATAATGGAAGTGTTTCTGAAAAGCAAGAGTATTTATACAGGTACATAGGGCTGATGATTTTTTTCTTATTAGAAATAAGTTAGTCTACTGTAAAAAAAAAAAAAAATACTGTCTTGAAAGCCCACTAAATAGTTTTCATTGAAAAAACTTAGTGACAACAGAAGCATCTTTCATTTCTTTTCTAAGCATCATGAGCACTTCTACAGGACACTGGCAACTGCTGGCTGAGAAAGTCTGAACCTCTCCCAAACCCTGGCTGATCCATCAGTCTATTGAAGTCCCTGAGGCCAGACACTCACTCTAGTTTTGACAAATTGACTGCAAGAAGGCCTACTGGCCACATGTCTTACATGAATGTTATAATCTTCACACGATCAGGTCATTCTCTTGTCTCCAAATCTCAACTCAATCCCTGTAGAGGGTAATCTTTTCAACAAGGTGAACTGCAAAAAGAACCTTCAAAATAAATTACGGACAAATAGGGTCCTCTTGTGAGCCATAATAAATGTACAATTTCTCTGACTGTTGGGCTTTTCAAAGAACTAACTTGGGTTTCCCATGTGCTACTGTCTACTGGGGGATCTGATCTCTCTGAGAAACACACCACAACTACAATTCCCTGATCACCCTCTAGTATTTCATTAATTTGCTCTTCTTTCTGTTCACGAAACTAAAAGGTTAACACAATTGTTTTTGCATTCCAGTGAGAAAATAAATTTTAACTATCTCAGTTCCACATTGAATTTATTTTTTAATTTTGGTTCAGCTATTGAAAGCACATCACTCACTAAAATTAAAATACTAAGCATGTGTTTGTGTATGTGCATCTCTCTGTACAAAGTTCAAAGAGACAAACTCATAGGATTAAATGAACACAAATGCTTACCAAGGTGTGGCCTACATAATTCTTTCTCTTGGAAAAACAAAACAAAACAAAACCAACCCAAACTTGAGCTATCATATATGCTGTAAACATAAGAGATCAGTCACTTAGAAATTTAGCGATCCACAAGCAAGCTTATCAGTATTTCTGTAAATTATGTTCAAATGCAAGATCTTGAAAGTATGACACAAAACAATCAACAAATTTGAGCTTATCGCCAACTCTTCAGTTACAAAAAAGAAAATAAATTTGAAGTTACTGCCATTTGGCAACAGTTACAGCCACTCAAACTGATCTCACAATTTAAATTCAAGGGTTATATTAAATATATTTGGAGTTTTTCTGACTTCTTTACCTTTAGTACAGCCTTTTGCAGCTTATCACTTTAGAATCAGCTTCATAAGCAATTTGTACACGTGCCTAATGCCACATGGGTAGACTAAAATGATTTCACTGAAGTAGCAATGTACATGGCAGTAGTATAGTCTATTTTCAAATGCCTCAGTGTTCTGTTAAATCAGACTTTAAATTCATGGTTTCCTCAGAATACTATCAGAGCAGAAAATGTTAAGTTACAGAAACAATAACCAGTTTTAGCAGAAGTCACAGAACAACTATCTAGTTTTAGATTAAAACAGTAAACTACGCTATTGTGAATGATTTCCTGAAGTTTGAAAACAGATTTTCGTAACTTAAATAGTTACTGTTCTTTGAATTTCACTTCAGATCTCATGGGAAAACTAAATGCACTCACTAGCTGCATTTTTAAAAACATCCCCTCATTTATGTATGAGAATATAACTTCTATAATACATAATATTTTGGGCTGCAGAAGTTGTGTGAGTCCATGCTCTTTTTAGAGAAGCTTTGAGAATTATAATTTTAAAAGGGTTAAGATACAAGTTTATCTTATAGAAACTGCCACTGTTAGAATACATATTATGGGGATCTTTATCATAATCTAAAGCTATGATCAGTTAATGAAAAAACTTGTATATTTCACATAGATGAAAATAGTAAATTTATAACACAACATTTCAGGTAAGGAGAGGAAGTAAGTTCATCAGGAACAATATCTATCCTTGCAAATTTCTGGCATAGATTTTGAGGGTTATTTACAATTTCAAACCTATTTTTGATAACTATGTACTGTATTACCAGTGCATGATCTGCATCCATAAAAACAGAAAATTGCACGGGGAAAGTTCTTTTGCATCAACAGACCTGCCAACTCTGCAGTAACACATGACATGTGAGGTATGTAACTTATCATTTCTTCTGCTTCCTCAACATATAACGTGAAAAAGCAAAAATTAAATCAAATATCCTGAAACTGTCAATTCAAATATACATTGAATTTTAGTGCACTTTATGCATTAATTTTCTTTCAAAAATAAGTGGAAGGCTCCTAAATTAAGCAAAAACGGTTATAAAGCCAAACTTAATACAGTAACTCATTTCAACTTACTACATGTTCAACTTCAAAGCCATACAAAACCAGACAATATTTAAATAAAACTTCGTAATTGTATAACTCCTACATATATTAGATACATTTAACCTGCCTAACCAGTTACTCAACAGTCATGTCCAAATGTAGTTCGTCAACACAGTACAAATAAGACACAATAGTTTCATTTTACATGCTGCCACGTACAGTATTATGCAACCAGCAGTAAAACATTTTTGCAACAGGAAAACAAAGAAACATTTATTGGGGGGTGGGGGGAAAGGTACAAAGCAGCAAGAGAACAATAAAAGAGGCATTTTTTCCCCGTTTTATCTCATTGCTAAACGCACTCACACACAGAGACAAGCTGACCACGTGTGTTCACCCCTCTGCTGAAGGTCATGCAAGAAGCCTCCCAATCCAGACTTTTACCTGTTGAAGCATTTCTTCTGTAGCATTCAGTTTCAACTGATGCCCCTCAAGACAGATTTCTAAGTCCCGGATTTTCTCTCCTTGAGCTTCCACTTGGTCTGTAAGAACACTCACCTGTAATTTGAGAAGAGAAGCACAATGCTACTGAACTGACTGTAAATAAGTTTCAATTACCTTATACAATTAACATCCAAATGCACACTTTAACAGCCAGTTCTCTTTTAAAGTCCTCAATGGTTTAATATTCTTGTGCACTGCAGCAACCTGCTCTACCAAGATAGACAATTTTCTAGCCTTACCTATATTTTGCCTTAACCCCGCCCTCTCAGCCCTCCCCTGTTTTTTCTTATTTTAATATAAAAAGAAAGGGTATTTCTAGAAGAGATGGAAGACTACCTATAGGTAGCCAGAGTCAGTTTATGGAAAAGTAAAAGTCTTGAAAAATTAGAAAGTTCCAAACAAAAACATAGGATTCTGAAAATATTTTCAAGCATGCATTGCCATTTCAGGTTCCACTGGCATTGGCATTTCACTCTCTAAAATAGACGGACAATAAAACTGGTCATTCAGAAACCAACCAATTATTTTACTTCTTATAAGAACAGAAAAACAGCTTACCTATCAATAAAGCCTTCTGCAGTTATAAAGAATGCAATGAGTAAAAGGCATGTTTTAGCAGCAGCAAAGATCTATTCCAAGAAAAATTCCCAGGCTTTGCAAGCCAAAACATGAAAGCAAAAGACGTGAGATACAGACAATGAATCCTAAGAAAAGCAACAATAAGTAATACTGCTAAAGAACTGTGGGAATGGTGGTAGAGACCAGTGAGTGTGTAACAAGAAAAGCCCAGCAGCCTGACTCAAAAGCTCACAAAGCTGAAAAATCTATATGCTCAGGATAACATTAGAAAGATGTGGGGGGAAAAAGCAACAGCTGAATTTCTGTATTAAGCAGCACATACACTGTATATTCATTTTTACTACTTAATATGAAAGCCTTGATTTTACTAGAAAAATGTTATCTCAACAACAACAACAAAAAAAAACAAAAACAAAAAAAAAACCAACTAAAACCCCCAAATGAACTTATCTATGTTCTCACATCCAACCCTGCAACACCTTTATTAAAAATAAGTACAGTCTGTGGAAGCGAACCCTTTGAGATGTGCCCACTACACAGCACTTCTAAATCCCAATGAACCAATAACTGAGTTCACTTCAGGGAAGCTCCAGAGGGAGTGACTGAGTGATCTTTCTTTGTTTTGCCTGCAAACATAAGGACAAGCATGCCTGGGAGAGGAACATAAAAAAAGAGAAAAAGAGGACTTTTTTTTTTGCCTTTAAAGTAGCTGGCCATAGGATAGAGTACAAATGAATGAAGGATGAGAGAAAATAGGAAGGAGTAGGTGGAGGCAAATGGCAGAGGGATACATCCAAACTTGAGCAGGGGGAAAACTCCCTGCAAGGAAGTCTGCTGCTTGTCTACTTTTTTGTTTTGCTCCCATTAAATGAGTGATGGCATACACAGACACACAAAACCCAAACCCCTCTAAGGTCAGAAAGCAGACAGAAAAAAACAATCCTCTCCTTCAGTCTGGTTCCAGAGAAAGAAAACTAGTTGCACTTAAATGGTCAGGTTAGGTTCCAACTAGCATTGCAACCTGCAAGGAAAACTGTCTGCTAAATATGACCTGCAAAGGAATTTAATAGAAACTTAGCAGCTTTAGGAGCACGTGTTGGATGTTCCAGTAGTTAGGCTGAGAAGCACATTAGCCACTTTGAGCTCATATTTTCCCCTCTGTTAAGGATCACATCTGCCAGACTCTTCAGAGAATCAGTAGCTACATACAGAATGTAACCCCAGCATATGCTCTGTTGGCAAGTCCATCTTGCCTTAGCAGTGTAACACCCACAAAAATCAGTCTGTGGATAATGTATTTTCTGTAAATATTATAAGAGTGATGCATATTGAAGAATTAGCTAAAAATCAAGTAGTATAAGGGTTTAAAATATCTTTGTGGGAAAAAAGAAACAACAAACCAAGCACTGAAAGAGGTACATTAGCTCCTATACACAGTCACTAAGCTATGAGAAGGTATCCCAGATGCTGCAGCATATTCACTCTCCACTATAGTCTAAACACTGGAAGTGGGTCTCAACGTGCACTGTTTGACTCTGCGTTGGTGGACAGAGACAGTGGGCACTGCCTGCCTTGAGATGCCTCTTCTGCAGCAAATCAGATGCAAGACTGGAGTGCTACCAACCTCATATTCCCTACAGATTACAGACACGGATTACAGTTGTTGGCACCATTCAACATGAGCTACAGAATAGAGGTGCTTTGTTTCCCATCACTTTCTCATCCTTCATGCCAATGGTCACACCCAAGAGGCAGGTTTATACCAGCTGACTTCCTCGGGCCAGTGTAACCTCAGCACGGGGCTCGCCTGCATTCCCCACATTTGACTGCCTAGATAGAACATAGAGAACTGTTGTAAACCAGGTTTTAAAACCAGCTCTATCCTGGCACTTTTCTTTTTGTTGTTTCTGATGTTCATCTACCAGAGTGAGGTTTTCACCTATTTTATTTGCCTGGGGTTTTAGGATTTCTACTGCAATACTGCTCAGCAGGATAGGAAAATGCATAAATACTGACTAAGCCTCCTGATTTGATGGGGGTGTGATGGAAGTAAAAGGCAACAGAGTGGCAATTCCTGTATCTGACTTTACTACATTCCTTTTGAGAAAAAACTCTAGGCAGGTCTCCAAACCATGTCATAAAACCCTCTACTTTGTGAGTAAACCATCCATTGAGCAACCAATGACTGGTTGCATTCTACAGGTGTCTGTTTGTGTGGATGAAGAAATAGTTACTAAAATCAGCAGGATGAGAACAGCAAAAGTACCTAGTAAGCAGTAGCCTGGAAGAGTTCAAGAATTTACAAGCTCTGGAGACCTGTTAAATCTGTTAAGACTGTTAAATCTACAAAAGCTGATATACTTCGAACATCAAGATTCTGCCAAATCTGTCCAACCCCACCAGGACACATGACCATCAACAACTGGCTGCATAGCATGAACCACATCCAAAAAAACCGTGGCTCCTCTATGTAGACAAAGATTATGGGACTGTACACACAGGTGATGAAACAACAGAGACCTTTGGAGACAAAGCCACAGGTGCATCAGTACAATTGGCCTCCTAATTGTTGCTCCAATTATGATTGCTCATGTGTGAGAGTGAACTGTGTGAGAAGTAAATGTACTATGTGAAAAGTTGCTGCCTATTATTAATAGAATCAAGATGTTAAAGTTAATAACCACTTGATTAATAAAAAATGTTCTGATAAACATATGTTGCCTCCCTGGACCTGATTCACAGAAACTTGGTTTTCATTCAGAAAATTTATTTTTTTCCCCTCTAAATTTGGTAATAGCAATTTTAGTTCCACAGGAACAACAACAAAAAGTTCCAACCAAGCCTAAACTTATGTCTCACAAACCATTTGCTGTTTATTTAACAACAGCAGTAAATTAACACAAGTGTGAACAGAACGTACAGGATAAAACATGCTTACAGAAACTAGTAACTGAAAGTAGGGAGAACACCTACCCAGTGTAGTTTTGTTTGATATAAAGAAAGATATATGCTTATAATATGCTTTTGTACTCATAAAGAGAACAGATATGCAAAGATCATTTAAAAAATCTCCAGCTTCAGTTTTAAAAAGCATGTAATGTACAGTTTAGTAATAGCAAACATATCCAGGAAAAAAAAAAATTTGAGTTTTTTAATTTGAAGTTGTATAAGCTTTTTTCCCGGTAGGAACATTAACATGGGACAGCAGATCTGTCTGAAAAAGGCTTGGTAAAAACTGAGAAACAGGAAACCTGGAATAACTTACGTATCCATTTTACTTCCTAATTTTCATCATCGCACCCCCCATTAAGGATGGCAGCAGGGAGAACCTAAAAAATCAACTGGTACAACCTTGCACACCTGGAATGAGAACCTCTACCACAGTACTGTCCTGAGACTCCACAGCATTATTTAAGTTGGCTTTCTTTTCTTTTTCTTTTTTCTTTTCCCTTTTCTTTTTTCTTTTCTCTTTTCCCCTTTTTTATTCATCTCCCTCTTACTCCTGCTCTTCCCTTCCGCTTTACCACACTATCCCACCATGAAATCAATCAGATGGATTATACAAATTATAAATTAATTCCTGATTAAATATTAGTTACATTTGGTGACCTGCTAACACTTGTTTAACAGAAAATACTGTCACGTCAGCATTTATTCACTGAGTATCGACTACGTAGACAATGTTCTCTTTAAGACATACCTGCAGTATGAGTGACTCTTTATCACCTTCTAATCGTGCCAATCTTTCTTGATATGTTTCATTATTAGATGAATGATGATTCACCTGTGACTGGGGGGAAAAAGCTCCTATGAGAATTATTACAGTTAATATTAGAATTTCAAACAATAGTTAATAAAAAAATTTATATTGAGTCGTTGTTATAATAGGAAAAACATGCAAAATGTATCTATAGACCATAACTGTTTATTTCATATTCATGAAACCTTTTGTATATATCTTTCTTTAGCTGGACTTTGAATATTTTCTCATTTCCAGCAAACAAGAATGGTATAGGAATAGATCTGGTATTTTCCAGCAAATTATTGTTTCATTGGTAAACACCATTTTATCAAGACAAACCCCCCCCAACATTTAATTTGAAATATCTGGTCTCAACAGTCTTTTTCCAAAGTCAAGGAACCTTGGTATTTATTTTTAAATGATAAAAATTGTGGTATGTATTATACTATTCCTAGAAATTACTGAAAGCATACATTTGTTGATAGCAATTAACAAATTACTGAAATGATTAAATTCTTCACAGCAACTACCATATAGTAGAGATAGATAATCACTTAATGATTTCTAAATGCTCTAAGGAGCAAGACCTTCTAAAACATGCCTGTTCCTAACCAGAATGTCCCATTTCCTACAAATTTTAATACTCCAGAGAGAAAAAACACTGTAAAAAAAATAATATATACATACAGATTAATTTTAAAGATTTTAGAAGAGTCCCATTGCTTCTAACCTACTAAAACTTTGTGTAACTGCGGGAATGGAGCTGTTTGCTTAGAGCTTCAAAAGTAATATGAACCCTTACTGGTTAATTTCCCAGCTCCATTGAAACAGCGAACAGGAGAATCCAGCTTCACTGAGTGCCCTTCGACTGCACTAGTCTGCAGATGACTGCTCACTTGGAGTTACTTGTACAATGGCACCAATATAATTACAATCCTCCTCCCCAACTGTCCTTTCATTTTCAACGGAAGGTTTGTCAATAGGATTCTTCTTGATTTACACTGAGGTCTACAGGCCCCAATGTAAAACAGATGATGAAAATAAACACGGTGTTAATTACTGCAAATCAAGAAATCAAATATTTATCCAATGATCTGTAGATCTCCAAATAGCAGGTCCCTCTCTTTGGACTAAAAAACCCACAAGTTTTTCTGTCTTTTCCTCACAGGATAATTTTCCAAGATCTATTTTGTTGCTTTCTTTTGGTTCCTCTTCACCAGTTGTTCCTTGACTTCTTCTGAAATTAAGTGCCTAAGAGGAGAGACAGGACTCCAGCAGAAAACAGCTAGAGTGGAGAAAACCTTTTCACAGACCCCTGGGCCATATTCCTTTTCATATTAGCCATACATTAATACAGATATATTTTCAGCTTAGGACCCATAACTTCCATATTCTTTTTTAATCCTCTTTAATGCTATTTAGCTAGCATTTTGTTCTTCATCCTGTGTTTAGTCATTGTTTCTGCTAGAATAACCTTACACTAGTCTATACTGAACTGCATCCTATTATTTGTATTGCTTTCCTATGCCTCAAGCTCTTATCTTTAATCAGGTATTTTAGCATGGCTGCAAAGTCCCTGACTAGAATCATCCATAAATTCATTAAGATTGGTCCTTAATCCCTGGTTTAGAGTGTCAACAAGAACACTGAAGAACAGAATGTGCAGAATCTCACTTATCAGCATTCACTGTCTGAATAATATTACAGAATAATAGAATGGTTTGGGGTGGAAGAGAACTTAAAGCTCACCCAGTTCCAAACTCCCTGCCATGGGCAGGAACACCTTCTACCAGACCAGGTTGCTCCAAGCCCCATCCAACCTGGCTTGAACACTTCCAGGGATGGGGCAGCCACAACTTCTCTGGGCAACCTGTGCCAGTGCCTCACCACCCTCACAGGGAATAATTATTTCCTAGTATCTAATCTGTATCTCCCCTCTGTCAGGTTAAACCCATCCCCTCTTGTCCTGTCACTACAGGACCTTGCAAAAAAGCCCCTCTTCAAATTTCTTATCGGCCCCTTTAGGCACTGGAAGCTGCTCTAAGGTCTTGCTGTAGCCTTCTCTTCTCCAGGATAAACAACCAAACACAAATCTCTCTGCCTGTCTTCACAGGAAAAGTGCTCCAGCCCATCTCACTCTCCCGCACCTAGACCATATAAGCAGCAAGTACACACTGCTAGGCAGGAAAAGATTTTCTTAGTGACAAAACCTTGTGATGAACACTGCTTACTGAAGTAGATTTTGTACCCTTTCTCCGGCCATTATTTGCTATTTTTTTAGGCTAGATGTAAGAAATTACCTGTAACCATTTCATTAACCACTCCCCCTGGCCTACAGGCACAGGGAGTTAAATTACCGCCAACACATTTTTACATAAACAATGCCATGAATACAAAACAGAATTCATCATTTTTTATAATCAGTAATTAAGAAATAGGTCAACAGCAAATCACAAATAAGGTATTTTTACTACACTCACATTTACCAAATGTACAGCCTCTGCTGATGTCTGCTGCACTGAGTGTGAAATATCCTCTGCTGGAAGTCCAGTACTCAATGCCCATGTAAAACTTAATGAATCACACCCATGTGAACAGAAAAGGGGGAAGAAAAAGAGAATCAACCCTGCCAACAGGTCAGCTAGAGAGTGCTCAGATAAGAACAGGGAAGTAGAGTAGACATAAAATGACCTGCTAAATAAAAGCAGCTGATTGACACACAGCAGTTGTTTAAGACTTGGGAAATCTTTGTGGCATACACAAAGACAAGATAAAACAATGTAATATGAACCAAAGCCATCTGTGGATGGTTGGAGTGCATTCTGTTGCAGTTGTGAAAGTCAGTACTGAGGAAAGTGAGCAAGTATAGTTAGATATCACACGTATCAGCAACAACTGAATATAGGACCTGTAACACTAAGGAGTAAGACTACAGACAACTTGAGCTGGTGTAAGGGCTCACAAACAATAAACACTAGACCTGTGTAACCGCAGGACCAGAAGGCTGAATCACCAAGATTTTCCACTGAGATGTTATTTCAGCAGATGTAGCCTTAAGACCAAAAATCATCACCTAGGCTCCACAAATTATAGGATAAATATATTAATTATATTTCTTATAATGAAAGAATGAGTGCAATAGAATAAAACATATAAAAAAGTTTATGAGAACACATGATAACAAAGCAGAAAGAGAGATATGCTGAGGCAAGATAGTTGAAACTATGCTGATGATAGTACCACTGCAGATGAAAAGTCAAGTGTATATCATAAACACTTTGCCTAAGGGAGCTGCAAAGCAATTTCTTGAAGCACCTGCATTATAGACTCCATAGAGATTTTGATACAGTTTAATGCCCATCAGATATTAACATCAAACGTTTCCTGAAAAGAGTTCCAAATCAACTGTTTCTTCCTGTTCTAGAAAAATTAAGAGTGTGTGTGCTGGGGGGGGGAGGGGAGGGGAAAGAAAGCGAAAAGGCTTTTCATTCCATCACCTGCTTCAGCTTCTTCATCTTTCCAAATCTCTTCTCTGGAATGTGCTCTTTACTCCAACCCAGACTTAGTATTGGTAGCTGCTGGAAACTTCCTGAAGTATCACTTACATGATCCAGTTGTTACAGAGCCCTTTTCCAAGAAAAAGGCTTAAATATTCCTCCAGAATAAATGACACAAAAAAGGAGACTTTAGAGTATGACTCAACATCTTTAACTTAAAATGGGGATAATCGGCAAGAATATATAAGGGCATGGCAAGAAAGGGAAGAAATGTTTTAAGTGACACAGTTCACTATCTTAATTTTCACCAGCCTTCTCAGAGCCTGGTAAGCAGAAGCATTATGTTTTTCTTCATTTTATTTAATAGGAAACAATTCAGAATGCAGTTTATTGTCATAAAAAATATCAACCACTGTAGAGAGATTCTGTAGAGATGTTCTGTTCAGAAGCTTCTATAACAGAGCTTCTAGCTGAACCTTGATAGGCTGTACAAGTAAGCCCCTTAAAGCAAGCACAAATACAAGATAACAAAATTGAATGCAAGCCACTTTATGTTCTTCTTGTGTTCTGTTTCCAACACAACTCAATTTAAAACAAAAAATACCACTACTGAAATTTATCATCAAGCAGTTACACAGAAATCTGTCACTAATGCCATGGATCTCATACTGGGCTGTTCAGTGGGGAGGAGCTGGGAATAGAAAACTGGCAGTCAGTCAGAGCGGTGATTTGTAAGCTTTTTCAACAAGTAACCCGCCTTTCAGAAGACAGATTATGTCATAACCTTCCTCTCTTCTTATTCAGTCACATGAATCACCTTCAGTACCACTGATAATTGAGTAAGATGGCTGTGGCAACTATAATACTTGTATTAATGGAGAACATTAGGGACATGCTTGATGTATTGTCTTCTGTTGTAGTTTAGAAGCTGAAAACAAAGAGTACAGCCTGCAGAGATCAACCAGTCAGTTTTCCTGCAAACTACTAGCAGCAACCAGACTGTAGTACTATATTTCAACACAAGAAAGTATAAACCATAGACTTATTCCAGCCTACTTGGGGTTGATAATATCTAGAAGAGTGTGGACTTTCCATTTCTTACTACTCCTTTGGGTCAGCAGAATTGATGTTATGAGTCACAATAGTTGCTATCATGTAGTAATGAGCGAGTGGCCTACACGGTAAACATTTTTATTTTGGCATATGACCATGGATGTAGTATAAATTTCATCTCTTGTCATGTTAGTGCTGCCTCAGATACACACCCATTTGAATATATGCACATTAACTCTGTGTACTTGGGGAGGAGGAGAAAGCTGGAATTTGATTTCTGGATCTGTAATTCTTGCCTTTCATCTGGTGGCAATTAATAAATCAGCAACAGGATTTTCTGTTTGCTGTTTTTCCTTGTTGGTTAAGTGAACATGCCAGCCACTTCGAAAAAGTTACCACCATATAGTTTGAAATCAAGTGAAGACAGAGGTAGGTAAATTCCTGTTGTCCTTAAAGTATATACTCAAAGTTCTTTTGGTTTAGTTTGCTATTTTTTTC